ATGTAATTCGTATCACCGATTTGGTTCAAGAATTCGTGTGTTTTTACTTTTTTCAGCAGTTGTCCTGAAAAAAAATTCAAATAAAAAGGAATTTGAAGAATACTTGGTAATTCATCCTTGTTGACTATTTCACCTTTATTTATCTCATTTATTGAATGCATGCACTAATTATCTTCATCCTTCTAACATAAAGATTTCACAAACTTAGAAATAATTGATAATCTTGTTTTATATGAACTTGTGCTTTAGTTATTTTAACTATTTATAGTTTAAATTGTATACATTGAACATTGTATATAATCTCAATAATGTATTTGAAATAATTTTTGTTGTATCTGAATCTTATTATTTGATGCAAAGTTATGATTCGTTTAAATTGTTCCGTGATTCATCATTTGGATAAAGCTGAAACTGCAAAATCATTTATTAAAGTTGCTTAATTTATACCAGATTTGGGTTTTGCCGGTTGTTTTGATCTGAATTGCCAAAGCAAGTCAAGGATTATTGAAACAAGTGTTTATTTAGAGCAATTATTTGACAATAAACCACCGCATCGTGGAGAAGTACTTTTTGTTGGTTGAACCCAATTATTATCAAGCGGTTTTCTGTCATGACACAGTTCTGCATTATTGTTCATTATTCAAGTGGCATTTTGTGGTGGAATTACAAGTGTATTAGTGCCGCAATGTCTCATTTTTATTGTGTTGATATTGCTGGGAAATATATATTACGTGGATTATAAACACCTTTGTATATTTTCAATGATAAAAAGAGTGGTTGATATTGCTGGTGGTGCTTGGAATACCATGATTTACTTTCTTACAAATTCATGAATGTTACTGAAAAGATTTCACTATATGTCTGCTTTATATGTATGAAGTCTATATATCAGTCGATGATACGAAATAGACGAGAGATCTACATGTTTATTGTTAAAAAAACTAAGTGTTTTTATTGTGCAGCTTTTATAGAAATACGAACTTTTAGAGTGCACGTTACCAAACATGCATTGAGATTGTGGAAACATTAACAACTCTTTTTCAGTTGCCTCTTTTAATCACAATGATTGAAACTTTTTCTGAAACACATGTTAACATTTCAAATATTAACTCAAAAGGACATCCATCACATAGAACTGTTCATTACCGAAACCTCTCTAATTAATGATATCCACTGTTTTTCTCGGACATGTATATATTTGAGAAATTGACAATGTTTCTAAATTTTGATTTTGAAGAAAAGGATAAAAAATTATTAATAAGCATGTTGAAGCTTTTTGTTAATATGGGACAAGATTAACAACGAAAATTATTATTCGAATAATTTAAGTGTGACTCTAAATCTTATATATATAATTTATACCGTATAATTGATTAGTCAATATATTCTCTTATGTTGATCGATGGGACAACTTCTTCGAAATTGTATATTCTCAAACAAAATTGAAGGAGTTATATACATTATAATTGGTCAGTCTACGTTTTGGGAGTGACTAATCAATAAGTACAAATGTAAATTATTTTTCATAAATCCTACGTTATTAACAAGACAAAATATGTTTATGAACTTTTATATCGCAATTTGGTTAGTAATATTTAAAAGTTTACTTCAAAATCTATAAATACAAATGTAAGATAAGAAGGTAAGTGATAATTTTGATTGTGAAATTAATATTATAATATTATAACCTATTGGATTTCATAGCTAATTTCAAAATGTCTTTCACGAGTACACAACAGGTGAATCTAAATTAAGAATATTAATAACAATATCCGAAATAGAAGGTAACGAAGGAAAACCAATAATATACGTAAAATAATAGTTCTTAGACCGATTATCCGAAACATTCTTTCATTAAAAAAATAACCCATCAAATTGAATAAAAAAAGGAAGCGAACACAAGTCTGGACCTAAAAAACGAAGGTGAGAATATGAGTGTATGAGTGCATTGGATCTTAAGAAAATTGAAAGGTGAAGAAGATGCTTTAAAGAAACTCTGAGTTGATCACAGAACCTGAAATCTAAATCAGACGGCAGCAATTCAAACAGCCTTATCGTGCTTTGACTCCCTCCACCCCAACGTTCCTTGGTAACAATCTCTGTTTCTAATGTCCAATCATTATCATTATAATATTATTGAAACTTCGCTTTTTCCTTTTGGGCCACATTACTCTTATCATCATTCCACATTCTACCTTTCTTATGTCTCCCTTCTATTCTTTTCCTTTTCAACTCACACTCAATAATTATTCTTTATGGATTTCTTCAAATTTTTGTGTTATTGTTTAAGATATTGATGAGCTTTCACATGATGTTTGTTGAGGATGTTGATTCTCTTTTTGCTTTTCGTCTAATATTGCTTCTGGAGTTCCTGCGGTTCTGTTTGAAATATTATTTCATATCCATTTCTTATATACAATTTAGCACATATTGTTTCGTGAATTTATATATAGATAAATTTCGAATGATTAAATATTTTTAATGTAAAATTATAATTTATTTCTGTTTCAAAAATATGATAAAAATAAACATATATAATCATTATAACACACTAATGTGATTTTTTTACATATTAAATTTATTTTAGTACAATATTTGAATTATTTATACTAATTGATATATTTTAATTAAAAAAATTATATCAAACTTGAAAACATATTAACTTTCGAGACTGAATTATAATTTTGTATTAAAGTTTATACATTAAATTAATATTTATCCCATTTACAATAAATAAATATATATATATATATATATATATATATATATATATATATATATATATATATATATGTGTGTGTGAAAATTATTTATTATTTATATTTGTTTTAATTATGTCTAATAGTCTCATATCGTTTATGAGTTTAAACCTAAGACGGTTTAAATATTTATTTCTCATTTTATCCTTCAATAATATTATTGAGTAAACTTAACATTGAAACAATATTAATAATGAATTATATCAATGTAATCATTTTTTTCTTGTACTAAAATTTCATTGAAGTTATTTTTAATTTTTAAAACTCAAACTTCCATAAGATGTGTGTTTCGAATATGGGTTGAGATCCCTTACTAAAAAAGCATTCAACGTTGTCATGTAGATATGATGAACTTCTTGATGATTTACATTATCTAAATTACGTTATTGGTTCTCTCTCATCCTTGTGTGAGCCGTGGGAGCAGGACACTCAATAGTTCTTGTAATAAATATGTGTAATCAGAGTTAAATTACTTACCTTTTCTCTCACACATATATTTATAAAAATAATAATGAGTTTACCATTAAGTCTGACTCATTAATCACCAATAAATTACTTTCATTATTCTTATTAATCTTTAGTCAATGACGGTTATTCTTCCTAATTTTTTATTAATAATTATTATTGTCCGGATTAATTATCAATTAATGATTGTGTAGGATGATCAACTGCTCGATCCTTCGCTGACAGGGTGGCCATATAGTACAATATGAAATTTGTTTATTTTATACTATATTAAATTCATTTATGTATCACTTTACACACAGTATAATATAATGAGAATGCGGAATATCTATTCTTAACCATGTGTTTTAATTAATTTGTTAATATAGTTGTTTTTTCAGTACATAATGTTGTATTTTTGTATCTCATGTTTAAAAATATTTAAGGTAATATTTTAATGTTGTCATGTGATGTGAGAACTCATACACCTAAATATTATAAATGTAAAGTGGTGGTGCCTTTGCAAATAACTATTCAAATAAAGGCCATGTACACTGCACATTTCAAAGTAGCATCTATGAAGATTATGCATTGTCATCACACATTGTATTTGAACATGACTTATAGCTTGTTGGAGAAAGCATGATATGGAATGAAGATTTTTACATGTATATATCAAAGTTTATATCATATTTAGCAAAATAACTTTATGTGGCTTATCATCTAAGTCATTTTTGTGATCTATCTATTCTCCAATTACTTTTTTCTTAATTGATAGCAACGTGGAAATAAATTGTTTAGCCACCAAACAACCAACCTTAAAGGAAAAAAATTAATGATGTAAGACTTAGCAACAAACCATTTATGGGTTAATTTTAATATAAAAAAATCTACCAACTTTTATTATTTATTGTTTTCTTTACAGATCTAAAATTTTTAATATGAAAAAAAAGGAAAGAAAGACTTAACCAATGTTGAAGTGCTCATGAATTTGGTATTTTAAATTAAGCCTTTATGAGTTCATACTTTATTTATGAACATTCTAAATTTGTATTTCTTACAGTTAAGTATATGTTGTATTATTTGAGTAAAGTTAGTGTAATTTTATTTGTCATTTTGTTGGACGTAAAAATGTAAGATTATATAATCAATACAAAATAATATTATGATTAATGTATAAAAATAAATATTATTTTTTTGTTAGATTTTGTTAAAAACATTAAAGACGATGGTTATGATTTTACATAATTATAAGTAATAATACGAAGATCATTAAAAAAAATCAGTTAGATCGTAATTCAATGAAAACAAATAATTAAGATGATATAACACGAAAACAACTATATAATTTTATTAATAAAAAATTAAACATAAAATACTTATTTAAAAAATATAAAATTTTTAAATATACAGGTTAAAAAATTAAATAAATTTAACAAGCATCGTATATTTTAATTCTTAAATCGACAAAATACTTTTTCCTAATAATTAATAATCTTGAAGCCATCAGTTCAAAGGATAGTTTCGTCAATTCACAAACTCCAATATTGTACTGTCTGAAATTTCTCTTCAAACTCGGTTGGCAAGGAAAAACGCGCAGGTGCAAGAAATAGTTAAAATTTAAATTTAAAATTTAAATTGAAAGTGTTTGAAAAGAATTGAATAGGTCGTTCGGGACCAAGAATTAAACCATAAAATAAAATAAAATAAAAGGTTTAAATAAAGAACTCCCTCCTTTTTTTTAATCGTTTTAAAAATTTGTGTGATTATTATGCTAAGTAGGGAGTTCGAAAAAGCAAAGCCAAAAAAGCTGTTTCTTTCAAATTCATCTTCTTTTCTTCTCCATACGTTCTTTGCGCCAGGAACCAAACCAAACGCGGCCTTGTGAGGCTGAGACTCTTCCGCGAACACATTGTCATTTCTCTTCTTTTTCTTCTTCTCTCAGTCTTTCTGAGTTCTGAATCGCTCAATGCTCAACGATTCTTCTGACATTATCTCTCTTTTGCAAGATCTTCATCTCACTCAGTCTTCTCTCAAAGTTCTCCCAGGTTAGTGGATCCGCTTCACGAACATCTGAACGAGTTGGTGATTTCGTGCATGTTTCTGTTTTCACCGTTCTTTGACTCTGTTTCTGTTTCGCGGCACGTAATACGAGGATAACCGAAGAAAATGAGGATTGTTGTTTGAAATTCTTTTGCTGTCGTCATCTTGAATTTTAGTTTCTAATCGAGGCATTTCGAGTTAGTTGATGTGTTCATCTTTTGATTTTTAGATTTTCAGTGTTTATGTTTCTTTTTTTACTTTATCAGGTATTTATGTTGAACTAGAAGTGTATAACATAAGATCTGTTTGTGTGTGGTTGTTGTAGTAATTTAAAAAAGAAAAAAGAAAAAGAAAGGCAAGATTGAAGGTGGAAGACCTTTTCAACCTTGAGGGAAGTTGATTAAGCTTGGGTCCATTGAATTAGCCGGGTGGGGGCGTGGATGTGTTAGGTTCATGATTTTGAATTTTACAGCTTGGAATGCGGTTGAACGTGTCGATTCGATGAGGACTTTAAAGCCTGGAGCAATGGATCGGGGGAGTGGAGAGTAGAGTGTCTATGTGGAGCTAGGGTCCCCTCCATTATGTTATCCTGATTAAGTCATTCATTGGGGGCCTTGTTTAAAGTTTGAAAGGCCCATTTGTATGGAAAGTTAGCTTTTTTGTTTTTGAAAAAATGTTATCACTTTTTGCTTTTTCGCAATTTGCAATTGCCGATGGTAACCTTTTTTGTTCATGGCAGAAGTCTATAAGGGAAGATGTCTCAGACATCCAGTGTCCTGCCTGCCTTCCACTCCATCAAGCCATTGCCCTCTGAGTTCAAGTTTGCCAACAATCCAAACCCTCTGCTTGTGGAAAAACATGGAGATGTTAAATTTAGACGCACCAATCCGATTGGACCAAATGGTTTTGAGAATGGTGCAGTAGTAGGGGAGGTTTCTAAGGAAGTTCGAGGCCGAGCTGGTGGCATGGATCTTTTTGATGAGGATTCACCGTATGGTGGAAAAGGTAGATCATTAAAAGACCGACCATCTAATGCAGATGAAGACTCAGCATCCGTTACTTTGCCCCTGCCATCAACTTTGACATCCTCTAGGGAAAACAGGTGGAATGATACAAATTCTTATGGTTCAAAAAAGGTAATGTTGGCCTTGGATTTCAGTTTTCTTCTGCTGCTGTGTTTTGAAATCAGTTTATTATAGTACATGCTACTTAGTTATTCAGTTGGACAAATAGCTTATTTTTCTGGAAGAATGTTAAAGGAATTGATTCATTTTCTTTCAATTTAATTTGGATGATTGTGGATATACTCAGCTGGGAATACAATGCACTCTTCGTTGCTTTGACAATATGTTTGAAAATTTCAAACGAAGATAATTTAATATTATAGTGAATCAGTCTTTTCTTTATTGAGTTTGTTTGATCCCATTAATGGATAATTTATTTTTTTTGCTTCTTTGTCTTACTTTTTAAGTTCATTATTTCAGAAGCTTCAGTCATGGCTTCAACTACCAAATGGGGATTGGGAGCTGGTAAAGATAATAACAACTTCCGGAGCTGAATCTGTCATTTCACTGCCTGATGGGAAAGTAAGATAAGCAACATTGTTTTTTTACACTGTTAAGTTCTTTTTGGTCTGATTAATTGTACACTCCACCCTATCATAGGTTTTAAAGGTGAAAGAGGATAATTTGGTGCCAGCTAATCCCGACATTCTTGATGGAGTGGATGACCTCATGCAACTTAGTTATTTAAATGAACCAGCAGTTTTATTCAACCTGCAATATAGATACAACCAAGATATGATATATGTAAGCTTATATCTCTTAATTTTCTCTCTTCATTTATTTTCCAAATCATAACATCTTTAAGTGCATAACTATTTAATTCAGACGAAAGCTGGGCCTGTTTTGGTTGCTGTAAATCCCTTTAAGAAAGTTCCTTTGTATGGTAATGACTATATTGAAGCCTACAAGTGTAAGGCCATTGAAAGCCCTCATGTTTATGCAATTACTGACACAGCCATCCGAGAAATGATACGAGGTAACTTTTTCCTTATTTTTCATATTTGGATGAAGTTTCAAAAAGCTAAGCTGTTTCCATTCGTTTTAAGCTATAACTTTGTATTGCTTTGCTTACAGATGAAGTGAATCAATCCATAATTATAAGGTCAGTATTTCTTGATTAATTCTATTTTTCTGAGCGACTAGTTATGGAAAACTATTTGGTGTTCATAGCTTCTTTAACAGATGCTTCAATCAAAGTTTTAATTTCAGTTTCATTATCTGCATGTTTGCTTGAATATTAGTCTTCAGTTTTTCGCTCTCCACTTGAGTTTAAAGATGGTTCAGTGTACAAGGCTCACATGTGGGGCCCTTTACTCAGTATTTTGATTAAACATTTACGGCATTTGTTATTTTCTACACTTTGTTTCTGATGATCTTAGTTTGTATTTTCATTCTATGAGTTACACAAAATCTCATTGGGTAGAGATGAGTATTTTCTTTCATCTGGCACTTGTGATCAAGTGCTGGATCAGGACAAAAATAAATTTAGGAAAAAACTATTAAAGAGGAGTTATTGGTAGAAATATTCAGTATATGAATAATTAACCAATAACCATTCGGTTTGTTGAAGGTGTTCAAAGGATTAGTAGCAACTTTAGTTGTCAAATGTTCTTATTTCTTAAGTTGGAAATATTTTTTTATCATTGGTTCATTTTTCTGTTTAGCTCCCTGAAAAATTTATCTAACCAAGTGAAATAATATTAAAGTTGCTCTCGTTCTCTAAATAAATGAAAGACTAAAGAGAAATGCATATTCCATATTGTTCGTTAATTTGGTTTGATATTAATTTCATATAGACTAAAGAGAAACTCTTGTGTGTTTTCTTAAAAATTTCAACTCTCAACTGTCTAGATGTATGAATTTGTTTTGTCGTTTAATTGCTTGCTTCGTGTAATTTTATTTGGTATCAGGTCTCCCTTGTAGTTCTTCGTGGTATTCTTTTTAGTTATTCCCTGTCAATCTATCGAAAAGTTTCTATGTTTTGCCCAATGTTTTCAGCATAATGTGGTGATCAACCTGGTTTCCTAAACCTCAAGTGTCCTTAGTTGACTTTGAATTAAAACTTGTAATAACTCCTTTTATCTACATATTCAGTGGTGAGAGTGGAGCAGGAAAGACTGAGACAGCAAAAATAGCAATGCAATACTTGGCTGCCCTTGGTGGCGGCAGTGGAATAGAGAACGAGATATTAAAGACTAATCCAATACTAGAAGCCTTTGGTAATGGAAAAACATTAAGAAATGACAACTCGAGTCGCTTTGTAAGATTTCCAATTTATTATATTGATTCTTTTGGTTGATTCATTAGGTTTCTGATTCTCTAAAATTTGGTGCTGAAATCTCTTAATTTGATTGAATGTCACAGGGAAAGCTCATTGAGATTCATTTTAGTGAAACTGGAAAAATATCTGGTGCAAATATTCAAACATGTATGTTTACACAGGATGATGTAATTGAAAGTTTGTCTTTTCTTCCTCTTTCAAGTATCTAACTATTATGTTAATATCTGCAACTCTGTATTGAATCAATGTGATGCTTCTGGCTTGGCCCGTTGACCATACCATACCATAAACAGTTTTGCTGGAAAAGGTATTCACTCTTTTGAGCTAGTTTTCATTCCAATTCGTCCATTTTATGTTGTTGACCCTTGTTTTATTGTGTGAACAGTCCAGAGTAGTCCAATGCAATGAAGGGGAAAGGTCATATCATATATTTTATCAGCTATGTGCTGGAGCACCCTCATCTCTTAGGGGTAAGTGAATTATTTTTTCTTCTGTATCTGCTAATATTTGTTACGTAGATGGGTTATTGTTACAATTCTTATTTGAGGGTGGCCTTGAAGAATGTGGAATTTCTCTTTAAATAGCGGCTTTGATGTTTTATTTATAACTCAGAAAAGCTAAATCTACTAAGTGCGGAAGAATATAAATATCTGAGGCAGAGCAATTGTTATTCAATTAGCGGCATAGATGATGCTGAAGAATTTCGCATAGTCAAGGTATACATATTATTTTTTACAGTTTCCATCTTGACTTGTGGTTAAAGTCTGAAATAATAGCTTGGCATACATGAGTTTTTTTATGCTATTGTCAATTTCCAGGAAGCTCTGGATATTGTCCACATTAGCAAGGGAGACCAGGAGAATGTATTTGCAATGCTTGCTGCAGTATTATGGTTAGGAAACATATCATTTACTGTGGTCGATAATGAAAATCATGTTGAAGCTGTTGAGGATGAGGGTAAGCATTTTCCAGAATCTCTTCTAATTGAATTTAAAGAATAGATTTTTTGTGCTCGATAGATTGCAGTTTACAGAGGGATGCCTTCCTTGTTCACTCCTTAGAAACTTTGCGGTCGATTTTGCATTAATATAACATTATATTTGCTTAATTGCAGTCTCGTACAGATATAGATAAACAAGATCATATTAAATTTCAATTTTATATTGAAGAGAAATAAAAGGGAGAGCTTTGGTGCAATGTGTCCCTGAGATCACAGGTTCCAGCCAGCCTCTTATAAATACAAGCACCGGCTGAATGTTATGGATCCCCTATGTGGGCTGACTCTTCTCTAGACCTGCTGCACAGTGGGAGCTTTGTAGCTTAAGGCTGCCCTTCTTAATACGGATAATAATAACTAAATGATTTGGTTATAAATAGTATCTATTATGACATACCTTTCGAAATTATATTGCGTACTTGTCCCAATCAAGCTTTTGCAAATGCATTGGTCTTAACATGTATTAGCTGCGACAATTCCAGAACTTCTTTTTGAATATGTTCAATATAAAACTTACTGGTTGTCAAATAGCTTCTGACTGGTGCAAGATTTTGGGTTTGGGGTGTCTCTAAAACTTTTGGCTTCACTCGGTATATAGTAGAGTGGAGCAGTTGGCATTTTATTTATTTATTTATTTTTTTGTGAAAAGGCCCTAGTAAGCTGAGCAGAAAAAATGTGTTTTGAGTTTATTTGTTGATTTTGCTGCACTTATATAATTTAACAACCATGTTGTAGCTCCAAAATATTTTCATTTGCGTATAATAACTGTTTAGATAGTGTATTATCGATACCTAATTTCTGATGCATAAGTTTTTACCTTATTTAGATGATATGCATTGTATAAATTAATACCTTAATTAAAAATGAATTCTGTTTCCCGACTTCTTGTAGGTCTGTTCACCGTTGCCAAGTTGATTGGATGTGAAATTGAAGACCTGAAATTGACTTTTTCAACTCGCAAAATGAAAGTTGGTAATGATAATATTGTCCAGAAGTTGACGCTCTCTCAGGTAAATGACTACGATGCTAACATTTACCTTTGTCTACAAGTATGGTTGGAAAAAATGCAACTTCTCAAGGGGAAGATGTTGGCTATATAGATTTAAATTGAACTTCTCAATCAGCCTATGCAATTTATTTAGTTTGTTATTGCAAGGGAATGTTCAAGATACGTTGGTTGGTGATGAACATATGAATGAATGATTGTTGCTTTTCTCATGTAGGCTATTGATGCGAGAGATGCTTTGGCGAAGTCAATATATGCATGTTTGTTTGATTGGTTGGTTGAGCAAATAAATAAATCCCTTGCAGTTGGCAAAAGACGAACTGGCAGATCAATCAGCATTCTTGATATTTATGGCTTTGAGTCATTCAATGTATGTTATATTATATGACAACTTTTTTATATAATATATCCATTTCACGATCCTTATCCTATTTAATTTTTGTTTTGCAATGTTTGCTCCGTTCAATGCTGTGGATTTTATGCATGCAGAGGAATAGTTTTGAGCAGTTTTGCATAAATTATGCAAACGAAAGATTACAGCAACATTTCAATCGTCATTTGTTCAAGCTGGAACAGGAGGTATGCGCCATATATAAACTGACTGTTGCTTAACAATGGATAAAGAATAGGTGCATAGCATTTTATCAGGCAAATGGAAAAATCTCATTCAAATCTGCAAGGTCCCATTAAAATGTGAATATAAAATCCATGACATTTTTATTTTGAACTCTTAGCTCTCTCATAATTGTTCCCTGATTATTTACACTAATTGAGTCCACACTCCATACTAATCTAACCGAACCGCACACTCTGACACAACCAACTAGGCTACTACTATTTCCCTTTGGTGGTGGAAAATAGTTAGCAAAGTCCCTCTATATCTCCTTTTTCAGGACCACGTAACTCAACTAAGCTACTACTATTTTCCCCATTTGTGGTGGTAGAAATAGATGGATACCAATCTAAATTTATTCATATTTAATGTAATTTTGGAAATCTGATGTTTAAACAAGTCCCCATTTAAGTTGATTGCCGTAGAATGAAAGTTGAACTTGCCACATGCCTTCTTATAAAATGAATAAAGAAGCTATGCTAACTCTTATAATTAAACATTTACTCATGCCTTGTTTACAATTTTGTGCCAGGAATATATCCAAGATGGCATTGATTGGGCTAAAGTGGAATTTGAAGACAACCAAGATTGCCTTAATCTGTTTGAAAAGGTACAGTGTTTCCGTGCCCCACTTTGACATTTTCTGTGTAATCTTTAGTATGTTTATTATCAGAATATAAAGGGAAAGGAAATAGGGAAACTAGCTAATATGCTTCTTCAGTGGGCCATATGCAGTGCTTATACGTTCCATTTTTTTTTCTGCTGTCAAATTAAATATTTTGGGGGTATGATTTTGTCACAGATGTTCTGTTGTAGCTTTGTTGAAAGTTGCTGCTTTTTTGTCTTTTTACTCCTCATAAAACTGAAGCGAAACCATTGGGATTTTGGAGTGAATTATGTTAATTCAGATTTCCTTAACTGATATTTAAATTATTTGAATGTTGATCCAAGTCCAACTATTAATGTCACATGGTTAATTTGTAATGCTTTGTTCTATTTCTTTGACATAATAAGGCGCTGATATTGTGGTGAATGGTTAGAGAATGAATTTGTGGCTAGTATTTTTCTTTCTCCGATGTGGAAAAAAAATACTATGTCTAACTAGAAGTTGGAAATTCTATTGTCTTAAACTTAGCTTCTGACATTTGCAGAAACCATTGGGACTACTATCCCTGTTAGATGAAGAGTCAACTTTCCCTAATGGCACAGATTTAACGTTTGCTAATAAGCTTAAGCAGCATTTGAATTCCAATTCTTGCTTCAAAGGAGAACGTGAAAAAGCCTTTACTGTGCGTCATTATGCAGGGGAGGTATTGATCTGGTCATTTTCATGCAATATTCTATTGGTTCTACCTGTTTATGCAAAGTGCCTGTATGGTCCGTAAGATGAATGTATAAGATTTACATTGTAATGACATCCATTTTGACATTCTGGTGTGTGTTTTATATTGTGAATAGAAGTAAGTTTTGTGGATAGAAAGACACACATTTGCACTATATTTGAATCCATGCATTATTTACTAACTCAAAACTAACCATGATTTTGAATAACTTCCCTTGTCGATATTTTTATTCTTCCCACATACTCTATCATTTTTCTTAAAAACAAAAGGTTATTTCTCATTAATTTCAGTTTTCTCATCTTACCTGACTGTTTGATAGTATCACTTGTTCTTCCCCAGGTCACTTATGATACATCTGGATTCCTGGAAAAGAACAGGGACCTATTGCACTTAGATTCTATCCAACTTCTATCTTCAAGCAAATGCCATCTTCCTAAGTTATTTGCATCACATATGCTTACTCAGTCTGAGAAGCCTGTTGTAGGTCCCTTACATAAGTCAGGGGGAGCAGATTCCCAAAAGCTAAGTGTTGCCACAAAATTCAAGGTACGTAATCTTAATTATGGCTTTATCAAAAGGCATATCTTGAAATGTTCTATTACTTTGGTAAAGTAATGTTGCTTTCCTAGCCTAATATGTTTTCAATGCTATTAAATGGTTTTCATTCAAAGTTCGTCTAAGGCTTGAAAAAGGTCAGCCTCATCTAATATATTAATGATCCTAATAATAATTATGACATAGCCTTGAAATTGTTACAAACCATCAATTTATTTCATATTTTAATATGAATTGGTTTAATAAGTGATCAAAAGCAGGATCGTACTCATACTGACTCTACTATTGCGGTTTGTAAAAGTGAAAATGGAAGTAGTGAGATGGAGTTGAGTGAAATCGATGCCATTCATTTTTAAAATTATTTTATCAACTCTCTCCCTGACCCATTCCATTCCTACCAAACACACCTTAAATATTCAGAGGTTTTTTAAATTGGTTGGGATATTTATCATGCTTCAATTGATTTAGAGGTTATTTCTATTGGTACCCAGGGACAATTGTTCCAATTGATGCAACGTCTAGAGAGTACTACACCACATTTTATACGTTGCATTAAGCCCAATAACCTCCAATCACCTGGATCATATGAGCAAAGCCTTGTACTTCAGCAGTTGAGATGTTGTGGAGTTCTGGAAGTGGTTCGAATATCAAGATCGGGCTTTCCAACTAGAGTATCTCACCAAAAGTTTGCCAGGAGGTATAATATCAGAAAGAAAGAAACGATGGCGATTAATATGATTTCAAATTAGCCCCTTCCCCTAGCCTCGTGCTTTTTGCAAGTTTCTAACCTTTCTGTTATTGACTTGGGAGCCGTAAATCAGATATGGTTTTCTTCTCCTTGAAAATGTTGCCTCTCAGGATCCGCTCAGTGTCTCAGTTGCTATTCTTCATCAGTTCAACATTTTGCCTGAGATGTTTCAAGTTGGCTACACAAAGCTATTCTTCCGAACAGGGCAGGTAAATAGATGTTTATAAGATTTTTTCCACAAATTGTTCTCATATATAAATTGTTGCGGTGGCAATGAATGTGATTTTATTGACTTTATAGCATTATTAATTTTTATGGCTTTAACTATTTTGTTAACATAAATTTAAGAATGAATTAGTGAGGGAAGTATTATCATCATTTACTTTTAGAAATTGTGTTCAACAACTATTTTTTACTTAATAAGCTTCAGTAATTTGGGATCTGAGTGAAGTAGGTTTCTACATGTTTTAATCAGTTGTTTCTTTTAAGAATTGTGTTTTTTCTTTTAGACATGGAAGTATGTACTGCGTGTGATAAAATTGGGCTCATGATATTTACGACCTCATTTTGATACTCCCACCCCACTCTTCTTTGTAATTTTATTAACAGAAATAATTTCCATCACGTATCTAGTCGATTTTTGGTGACATTATCGGATTTTTTAAATTTATGTTAATAATTTCTTTGTCAATTATACCTGTACTTGTCAATAATTTGTTTAATCATCAGAGCTTGACATCAAACTTTATTACCCCTATTTTATGTGTTAGGATCGAGGTGCGTGCTTGGAATTGTTTTGGCATAATTTTGCCCTTTATTTTGCATGATAAACTGTTCCGTGTTCAAGTTGGTCATTGCGTTCAATATACTTTTGCATTATGCATTTAAACTGGTGAAATAGATTTTATAACCAAAGCCTAATTTTAAATTTTATATACTTCTGTATTGTGTCTTTAAAACGCTGCCTTGGCCGCGATTGCAGATTGGAGTGCTTGAGGATACCAGAAATCGTACTCTGCATGGAATTTTACGTGTGCAAAGTTGCTTCAGGGGTCACCGAGCTCGTTGTTACCGCAAGGAACTTTGGAGAGGAATTACCATTCTCCAATCATGTATTTCTTTGCCCAACCTATTTTTTTCAGCCTTTCACATTCCTTGAGAAGTGTAACTGACGAAGATCCCTTCATGCAGTTATTAGAGGAGAGAAAAGCAGAAAGGAATATGCAAGTTTGCTTCACAGACATAAGGCTGCTGTTATTATACAGAAGCGGTTGAAAACAGTATTTGCAAGGAACAGAATGAAAAGTATTAACGAAGCTGCAGTTGTCATACAATCTTGTAAGAGTTTTATGCTCTCAAAAGGCATAGATATATGTTACACCTTTTCTTTAAGTAGTGTTAAAGGATAAATTAAAGGCAGAAAAAGATGCTTGGACAACTGTCTTTAAGTGTTATTAGACAAATTTTCATTTGTTTAAACGGCTTGTGCAGTTATCCGTGGTTGGTTAGTCAGAAGATGCTCTGGAAACATAGTATTATCAAAATCTGGAGTCACGAAGGTATTTTCTTTTTCTGATTTCTAAAACTATATTTCAATGTTGTCATGGATTGCTTATCTTTGTGACACTAACTCATGAATCTCTAATACAGACTAATGAGTCAAATGAGGTTCTTGTGAAGTCGTCTTTCCTCGCTGAACTTCAGCGCCGGGTACTTAAGGCAGAAGCTGCCCTGAGAGAGAAGGAAGAGGAGAATGACATTCTTCACCAACGCCTTCAACAGTATGAGAACAGATGGTCCGAATACGAGTTAAAGATGAAGTCCATGGAACAAGTATGGCAGAAGCAAATGAGATCCCTGCAATCTAGCCTCTCTATTGCAAAGAAGAGCCTGGCTCTGGATGAATCCGAAAGAAATTCAGATGCTTCTGTTAACGCAAGTGACGAGAGAGATTTCAGCTGGGATGTAGGAACCAATCACCGTCGTCAAGAAAGCAACGGGGCAAGATCAATGAGTGCTGGTTTGAGTGTTATAAGTCGGTTGGCTGAAGAATTTGAGCAGAGGAGTCAAGTATTTGGTGATGATGCCAAGTTCTTGGTAGAGGTAAAATCTGGTCAAGTTGAAGCAAGTTTGAACCCAGATAGAGAACTTAGAAGGTTAAAACAGATGTTTGAAGCTTGGAAAAAGGATTATGGTTCAAGACTTCGTGAAACAAAAGTCATTTTACATAAACTTGGAAGTGAAGATGGATCAATTGAGAAAGTGAAGAAAAGTTGGTGGGGAAGAAGGAATAGTACCAGAATAAGTTGATTTATTTATTTATTTTTTCTTATGGGGGTTTGGCTTTGGTCTATGCACTGTTTTAAGGGCATTGCATTGCCAACTATATATCCAAAAATGAGGAAAAATACAATAGGAAATATAAGATAGGAGTAGGACAATGAATTACTGGTTACTGTAATTAGGTTAGCTGTTGCTAGCCGTTTTTATTTATGAAAAATTTCTGCACGCACGACTTGTGGAATTAGGTGCTCAATACGATCCTTGTGATTCATGTTTGTGAATTGCATGTAGAAAAGATAGTGCTTTCGATCAATGCACGGGCTATGGATATTTCTAAATTTAAGTAAGATTTAATGACAATACTGACAATTGAAGAAAATAAATTGTACAAATAAACTATTTGAATTATACGATATTATTTATTTATTTATTTGATATGATATGCTAAAAGTAAATTTAGAAAAACACAATTATCGTTTATTAATTAATATTATAATAATTTTAGAGTGTAATTTATCTTAAAGCTATGTATTTTTTTTCAATTTAATACATCATGTGAAAAATTATATTTTAAAATTTAATTTGATTGGTAAAATTAATTCATTTTAGGAAACTATATTTTATAAGAATTATCTTTAAAATAAGATGAGGGTGACTTAATAAAGTTGACTATTTTTAAAACAATTTGTAATTAAAAATTGATTAAAATAGTTTTCAGGCGCACTATCTAAATTCCAAAGAAATACGCACCTTGTTTATGTTTTGATTTCTTGATAAAGTTAAATCCTTTGTAGATTATATTTAAAAAAAAATTCAATAAAATTTATATATTTAATGTTTTTATTAACTATATAACATGATAGTTATTTTCTACTGTTACTTTCTTTAAATGTCATCATGTAATATTTTATTACAATAAACATGATGAAGTCATTTCTCTCATTAATTTAATGTATTTAACAATTTTTTTTTAAATTTAATTAAAATTTCACATTTTTAATAGAAACATTTAACTGTAGAGTCCATTTCAATTCATAATAGGTGAACATTTTTTTTTGCACTCTATTTCTAGAAAAAATTGGAATATGTAAATGAATAAACATGATATTGTTTTCTGAAGAAATTCGGGTCGTAATACGAGCCAAGTTCCCGACCCGACCCACTGGACCCATAACCCATTATCCCTTCCTCTTAACAAACAACCACTGACGTTGCTGGCAGTGGAAAAGCGCAATGTTGGGTGGTAGCGTCTCTCGTGCCATTTCCCACCATTTTCGAGACTGCGACCTCCATTTCCACTTCACACTCACTTACTGTACTTTCCAAACTTTCCACCTTTCGTCCCCACGGCCCCTCAAACCTTGTTTGCCGGACACCGCCATTACTCAGAAGCACAGCAGAGTGTCGTCAAATTTCCGTTGTTTTGGCACCCCATCTAAGCCTCCTGGAGAAATTCCTCTCCTTTTCGATTGTTTCAGGTTCAATTCTTCATTTTATCGAATGGGTTTTGTTTTTTTCCTCCTTGGTAGTTGGTATTTTGTTGGAAACTTTACTTGGTTCATCTCTAGAGAGAGAAAAAATAATAATAATAGTAGTAGCAAAATCAAGGTGTATTTTCCAAAGGTTGGTAGTTTGGTATGAGCAAAACAAATCTCTTGGCGTTGAACTTAAATGTTTTTATTATAAAATTCGTAGGATATTCAGTTAGCATTCTATGTTGACACTTCTTTGATTTACCCCAAATTTAAACGTTAAAAGTTCTCTTCTCTACTCCATGTCGGAGAAATCAGTTGCCGGAAGCATGCCTGATGATAAGATTACTGAGGTTGTACAAACTTCTCAATAAACTAAATAAAAAACAAAATGAATGGAACTTCTTTCGTAAGTTAAAGTTAACTTCTTAATTTCTGGTTTTGGAGAAATCAGATGAAGAAAATTTTATAGAACTACTTGAAATTCAACTCGAGGGGGAGATATAATTCATTTTTTTTCCTCTCTAGATGCTTATTGAGAAATTTATACAGTCATATCTGGTTTTAATGTGTTTATCATTCATTGAATATTTTTATCTTACACAGAGAGAGAAAGAGGAAGAGAGAGAGAGTTTCTAACAGCTTCCTCGTGCATGACTGTAAATAATTCAGATGAAAGTTTTTAAAATATATCCATTTGTAAATTGTGGAAATAAAAGACAATATATAAAACGATATATTGCTTTTTATGTCTATTAATTGTTATCCTTCTTTGGTCAAGAATCTGATTCTTTTTCTCGTGTGAAGCCAACAAGAAGATGAACGTGAAATTCTCTCTGATGGAACATCTCCTGTGGCAGGTTTTTAATCTCTTCCACCTGATGCCTCTTTGACCATTTTTCATTTGCACGTCAAACTCTGTAATATGCAAGTTTTGTTCTTAGAATATCCATATTGTTTGAAGGCGAATAACATGCTTTTTCCAAAAGGTAAAAAGAAAAAGATTGATTGATGATATTGTGGAATTGGTTCTTTGATTAACCATGTCAATAGTTTCTTATAATTGAGGAGTATGCTCTTTTGGACTTCTCAGTTCCATTAGCTCAGTATCATATTTCTTCCTTAACTTTGTACATTTTTTACTCTTTAGACCATTTATGGTCAATAAGTAATGTTTCTTTTACTATTTTGTGTCTGTAGTTCTCGTCATTTGCTTGCTATATTTACCCCAACTTGAGTTGTAGAGAGAACTAGTGAAGAACATACAGAAAACAAAGTTTTCATTTTGGAAGTTGGCATATATGTTTATGTACTATTATTGATTCTTAATCATTAACAGGTGGAGTTGTAGCATTGGGAAAGTTTGATGCTCTGCACATAGGTCATCGTGAACTTGCAATACAAGCATCAAAGGCTGGACCTCCATTTCTTTTATCATTTGTTGGCATGGATAAAGTACTTGGTTGGGAGCCTAGGTATGACATAACATATTGATATCAAGACAATTTAAAGTTTTACTTTATTTGTTTATTTGGGTGCAAAATGTGCTTGACTCTTGCACTCATATAATGTGATCTTATCTTATGCTTTTTGCTAGTTGATTAAAAAATTATTTGTATTAAAATTACAAGTATATGAACGTTTCCTGTATGGATATAAGTTTAGCATTGGCACAAAGGTAAGGTTGACACCTTAGGACCCAAAGGTCACTGTTTGAATCCTGAAAACAACCTATCCACTTACAGGGGTAAGAGTGTGTACATCTACCCTCCCAAGGCCCCATTTGACGAGAGGGACTGTGTCCTTGACGACCCTTCAAACAATCCTTGTCACAATGTGAAGGTTCCTACCCTGTGACTTGGAGGTCACAGGTTCAGTCATGGAAAAAGTCTATTCAATTGTGAGGGTGGGTAGGACTATGTACATCTATCCAACCGCACTAGGTGGGAGCTTCATGAGCAACGATACTGTTCTCCTTACCTCTAATGGATAAGCTGTTAGGAAACGGAACCGGTAGCTCATGCTTTACCGAACTCATCTGAGCGTACCTTTTTTTATTGTTGCATACGAATCATAGGTTGGAATAACACACAAATCATGAACAGACATAGTATTGAAGTGATTTGTGAGCCTTCCTTCGTTATTTGGGGTGTCAGATTAGTAATCATTCTGCTTTTCCTCTGTTTGAATAATGAATGGTAGAAAAATGACTATAAACTCGGATGAAGCTGGATATTGAGCTATTCCTGGTGCTGTGGCATTGGCATTTTACTGTTGCCATTCATAAAACTGGTTTAGTAAGGTGAAGTTTTTATTCCACTTATAATCTGTAACCAATGTGGGTTTTTCAACACACTCCATCACTCCAAGGACATCGAGCATGATAGTAGTGGGGGTGGGGTTCCAGTAGCAAGTGGCACAGTAGGTTCAACAAAATATTGACTAGTATAGAATCTTAATAGCTTTAATACCATATTAAGGTAGGGGAATTTAAGCTTAACATTTTGAAAATTGGCTCAATAAGGTGACGTTTGCACCCATCTATATATAATATAATTTGGTTACATCTTTAGTCGAAATGAGGTGTTCAACACACTTGTTAGAGAGACTTGGAAATGAACATAGCATTTGCAATTCCCTAGGAAGATAATTATGATTGTTAATTAAAAACATTCACAGTATGTTTGTTCTTTATTTTTGAATTTTTTTCGGTGATTATATGTATGAAGGATGCATTAATTTGCTATGGTGGTTTAAATAATGAGTAGTTATTAAATATATAAACTTTTAACTCATGTTTTCCCAAAGCAGGGCACCTATAGTTGCTAAATGTGATCGGAAGCGAGTTCTTTCTTCTTGGGTTCCTTATTGCTGTAACACAGTCCCAGAAGAGTTTCAGGTAGAATTCTCAAGTGTACGACATCTCAGTCCACGACAATTTGTTGAAAAGTTATCGCAAGAGCTTAGGGTTCGAGGAGTTGTTGCTGGTAAGTAAGTAGCTCCATAATTTACTGTCAACATTTACGAACACCTTTCACATTACTGTATCATAATTTACTTGTATCAGCATTTATAACATAACATCAACATTAACGTGGTTTATTCTATTACCAATGTTTGTTCTGTGCTGGCTTCTGGAACTTCTGGTAGGTGAGAACTACCGGTTTGGGTACAAAGCCGCTGGTGATGCCTTGGAGTTAGTAAAACTTTGTGAAGAGTATGGAATGGAAGCTTACATAATCAAATCCGTCATGGACAAGAATCGTTGTTCTGCAGACATGAATTTTGTCACTAACTCGAAAGAGAAGGGACAGGTGTCGTCCACCCGTGTTCGTGAAGCCTTTGCTGTAGGGGACATGAGTTATGTATCAGAGCTTTTGGGTAGGCCACACCGTCTCATACTAATGGCCACCGACCAAGAAAGATTCAGTAGTGATCAGCATAAGATATCTGCTCCTAGATCATGCACATTGAATCTAGCACCAAAGGAAGGTTTATATGAGAAGTGTTCACTTTTGCTTGATCAGGAAAATGTTGTGCAGTGTAGAGTAGTTATTGACAGCAAGTTTGTGCATATAGAAACAGATTACGGAGGTCTGAGTGATATTTTTGGTTCTCAAAATCTGCAGTTCTTGCATATTGAATTTGGCGATTCCTGCACCTGATTCAGTTTAGAAATTATTTCTATTCAAATTCATAGTCTTCTGGATTAGAGATGATTTTTATCCATCCTTCAAAGTGCCCAGATGAAACTGCATAATCTGAAGGCTGGTATGAGTAGGTATATACATACACACTGTACCTTTCTCCCTTTCCACCCTCTTCACTGCATTAGGCCTCCAAACAAAGTGATTCTGTAAAACTTGATTGATTTTGCTCAATCTCTTGTTTGAGGAAATTAAGGATTAATTTTGGAGATTCGTGGTGCGTGCCCAGATATAAGTCTGTCAGATAACTATTATGTTGCTATACTCTTTCAAATCAGTTGCATTTGACATGTTGGAAGTTTGAGTCCTCACAGTAATGTAAGTAGTTTTTTAAGGGTTGTTTGAATCTGGATATTTTTGTTGTTGAGAAAAACATGGGATTAAAAACTATGAGAAACAATCCCAAAACAAGAAGCAGGGAAGCTAAAAACATTATCAGACTGAGAATATATCATACTATGTTTGGATAAATTATAATAATAACTGTTTGTTGAATTAGATAAAGTTCATACCAATAGAGCTGCTAAGATAGGCATACTGGTATGAACAATCCAAAGAAATGCAGTGTTAGACTAAAAATAGTGATATAAACCACAGCAAGTCAATTTCAGTCTTAAAACGAGTTAATTTTGGTCTTATTCATTCAACTCAGCTCAAATGGAATCAGTCAGGTTGACCATTTCTATATTAAAAAATAAATAAAAAATATTATTTTGTTAACACGTTTATACATCAAATTACTAAACTAAAAGCTGAAATTAATTTTATTTTATTTTTGTGAAAAGTTACTTAATTTCACCGGTATGAAATTAGCTCTCATCGTGTAATTTCGTGATGCAAGTTATCTTATTTATTTTACAACACACTAGGAAAAAATTACCTGCAGTTTATTTAAAATTTATTTTACAACAACAAAAAAACCCTTTCTGAAAAAAAACCGACTATTTTTTGTAAGTATTCAAAAATATTTATAGAATGTGTTTGTAAAAATAATTTCGATACAATATTTTAAACAGTTTATGCGCATTTATTCAGTAAATCCTTAATTAAGTTAGTATTTATTTATCTTGTTCTTGAACCCAATCAAATAGGGACGGGCCGGGTCATATTCTTGAACCCGTTTCATGTACAGCGAAGGAAGCGAAGGTTCCCACTACCACCTTTGCTGATAGTCACGATGTCCGTCACCTTCACTTCGTCACCGACATTTCCCTAAGCTTTCTCCGACTCACGGACTCGTAGATCGAGCGAGTTCTGCTGGACATCTTGAGAGCAAAGTTTGGCAGGTGGGTGAAACGCGGTAACGTTAGCGTTGGTGGAGACCCAACCCTTAGGGACGTTCTCCTCGGCGTCTTCATTTCGTCGTCAACAGGTTTGTCAATAATTCCTCCATGTGGTTGTAATTTTGGAATTAGGGTTAGAAATTGGGGAATTACGTAAGATTCTTGAACAATCATCATGGTAAATTAGGCCAAATTATGGTTCTGCGTTTCTAATTTAATTTCATTTCAATTTGATTGAGCTGCAGTTAAATACTAATTCCTCTTGTTAGTTTGGTTTTAATTTATCAACATCATTCGCTGGTGGGTTTCGTTTTCATCCACTTCCACTCCCTATCGTCAATTTTTTTCAAAACGCAGTTTTTTGTATCGTTCTATGGATGAATTACGAAACGAGGTTAATGTGGTTCGATCATAATCATACACTGATTCTTTGCAAAAACAAACAGGTTAAATTCTAACAAAGCCATTTCTATATTTTGTGATGCATTACAATTACTATTATATCCCGTATGTAGCTCCATTGCTACTATATGTTTCAGCAACTAGGCAAGTAAAATGTGTTCCTTTGAGTTCTTACTTCCTATAATCGGAGTTGAAGTTTGCCCTCTGAGGTAGTTGAACCTGTGTTTCTTAAACGAAATGTTACTTTCTTGTTACTAGTTTTCTACTCGTGAAAGTATTTAGTCAGATTGTGTGATAAATTTTTGGAATTTTCAACTTCCACTTTGTTGCCAGTATGTATATTGTATAATCACTCAAGTCAGATTTTTTATTTTTCATCTAGTGTAGAAATTTCAGTGTGTGGAATTGAAAGTACAATGGCAGATTAATGATCTTTTTGTCTGAAACTATGATTTGTAACAAGACTTTTTATTTGAAGAAATTTTAACTTCCCTCATTTTGAATTCTTTTGCCTGAATTCTTGGTTAAGTCTTGACTTCTACTTGTTTCTGCTTTTCTACAACGAAAGTGAGAAGTTTACTTTTGTGGCATTTCAATTTTAATACAAATAGATTGCAGTTGAAAAAACTACTTTGAAAAGTAATGATATTTACACATAAAATCCTACGTCATTCTTACACATTAATTTTTTAGACAAAGAAAAGCACATTTGAATATACCCTGTATATCTTTCTTCACTAAAAACTGCAAATTGTAAAAATAGTGTGGAGATTTTGATGTCCTGAGAATTTTGAGACTTGTCCATTGCAGCAGATAATTATAAGTAGTGCATCATGAATACATTGTAGAAATTACCAAAGCACGATATCTTCCTTAATAAGTTGAAACTTGAAGATTTGAACGAACCTTTCCAACCAAATTTATGTATGGACTTATATTGTCATCATTTTCTTGGTACTCTCTTATTGCCAAAGCTTCAACTTAAGTAGGAAAGTCAGTGCTAGAGTAGAACTCACCCTAGGCTGTTAGTAATTCAACTAAATTATAAATGATGATGACATTCCTTTGTTTTGTATCCCTATTATACTTTAATTATTTTTTTTATTTTTATTTTTTTGCAGCTGTAGAGTAAATAGCAGTAGTAGTAGGATCTGTGTAAGATGCTGCTTCGAAGAATTGTTGCTGCATGTACACAGTCAAGGCGCATGTTCAGCTCCTCTGTAAACCATAGCTATGAAAGTGCTATTCAGGAACTCAACAAGGTAAAGTTTTTCTTTGCTGCATTCTACTAGAATTAAATTCAGTGTCTTTTCTGTTTTTGGCACAACCATCTACATAAGTTGTCTTAATAACTACAGAGCACTCATTGACCTAACAGTCTATCACAATGCGAAGAGTTTAAGTTCACTTGTTAAATATTGTATTAAGAATCGGTGAAGTCATTAAAATCTAACCAATTTTTTATGATTTCTACTTTACTAATTAGTATCTACTCTGGAGGTTTTTCTCCAACAGTACATAGAAATGTTGGTGGAGTTAATGTGATCCATGTAAATTGCTTATTTTATTTCAGGAAATGGAATCGGTATTTGGTGATCCTCCTGCAAATGGACTCGCTAGCTCTGCAAACAATTTGAACAATGAAGCCCAACTGCCAGCTCCAAACATTAGTGACAGTTCTTTTCAATTGACTCATACTAGTAAATCGGGGGAAGCTCAAATGGTAGACGTGTCTCCAAAAGAAAGTAGTAAAAGAAATGCCACTGCTGTATGCAAGGTAATTCTTGGGAAGAAGGTGTTTGACTTAGTCGTGGCCAATCAAATGGTGAAAGGAGATGTGCTTACCGTGGCAAAAATTGCCGGCATAACTGCAGCAAAGCAAACTAGCAATCTTATCCCTTTGTGCCATAACATAAACCTTTCACATGTGCAAGTGGATTTGAGATTAAATCACGAGGACTTCAGTGTAACAATAGAAGGGGAAGCTGCATCAACAGGTAAAACCGGGGTTGAGATGGAAGCGATGACGGCTGTGTCTATTGCGGGCTTAACAGTGTATGATATGTGTAAGGCTGCTTCAAAAGATATAGCTATTACAGATATAAGACTTAAGCATAAATCTGGTGGAAAAAGTGGAGAGTACTGGTGGACATAATGATGGTTTAATTTCCATTGCAAACAATACGAAAATGCTATTATTCTTCATATACTTTTCTTCACCAGCATAAACTCTATACATGGCTTCCTAGTTATGGGAGGCATGAATGTTGGGGATAGTTTTAAGTACGTTTCAATTACTCGACTTTCATGGCTCTTGGTAAACATTGTCAAATTTTGGTTAGTGGTCTAGGTTTCAGTTCAAATTTCTTCTACCAAAAATTACAAGGTTTCTGGTCAAATGTCTTTACTTTAAATTTAATATAATTATAATTTATAATTGGTGTAAAAAGCTATTAAGGGGTTATTTAGATGGGATAAAATAGTGTAATAAAAGTAGGAAAGAATGAACTTGGTATGCTCTAATTTTCACTTTCAAGCATTGATACTAAGACAGGGATTGAGGTTGAGGTTGAAAAGACAAATCACCTATAAGGGTGAAAGGACGATAACTCATTCTAAGTTTGTGGGGTAAATTGTATGATTTTTTTTATAGGAGGACGTAATACACGGACACTATAGAGATAAAATAACACTGTATCACTTAGAATATTAATATTTTAATCAGATTTTTTAATTTGAAATTTTAGTACGTATTAATATTATTAAAATGATTTTCAAATGAAATCATTCTAAAACTATAATTTTCCATTTTAGAACTCAACTGTATATTTTTATTATTAAATATTATTAATACTAATATTATTTGTAGTAATATTACTAACTTTAGCATTAGTAGTGTTAGTATTATACTTCGTATTGATTAACATCTTTTACATATTTTTGTTTTGGATATTCCATTTTTGAATTTGTCTCTTTGTAAAATGAAAAAATAATGTCAAATCCATTTAAAAGTTAAGTTTTTACCCAAAATTAATCAAACTAGACATGCAACTTATAAATTGATCAAATAAACAACAGTCAGAGGTAGAGGACAGAATAATCAGATCAAGAAAAATTGCAAGCTTCATACCATACTTATTGAAAAAATAATTTATATCATTAATTATTATCTCATTAATTATTACCTTATTAATGCATATATAATTTAAAGATTGAATGAATAATTATTATCTCATTAATACATATATACATAACTCAATGATAAATTATAAGCTATTAATTATATAAGAGTATTTATTTATTGTTTTTGAGTTTTATTATATAACTGTATTAATTATATAATATGGATTTATTTTGATTGATTTTGTGATTATAAAATTTTGATAAAAACTAGATTTACTTCAAATTTGAATTAAAGTTAAAGAAAATTATATTTTTCTACTGATTTAATAAATATAGAGAAACATATCTTTATATTATTGTGACAATATTATCCAATTATATAAGAATGTGATTATGTTTGATTAATAATAAAAAAATTATTTTTCAATTTTGTCTATTTAATAATTAATTTTTAAAATTTGAATTATTTTTCACAATAAAAAGATTATTTACACAATAAAAATATTTATAATTAAATTATAAAAATTATTTACTTTTGTAACATTTATTTAACAGGTAATTATACTAAAATAAAATATCACAAATTTAATAATTCAAAGCATATAATCCACACTACTGAAATTGCTGTTATTAAAATGTATAACCACAACACACGTGCCAAGAACTAAAATATAAATTATTATATGAATTATATAATATCTTTATTTTATTTTTATATCTACCTGTATGTTAGATATAAGAATATTATGTATAAATATATTTAAAAACAATAATTAATTATAATTGATAGAATGATATATATATATTGAATAACATCTTTTACATATTTTTATTATGTTTTGATTTTGTCCCCGTGTAAAATGAAAAAATCATGTCAAGGCAACTTTCTTGAATTGGCATTAGACAGCTAAACTCGCTTTGAAATTTGACTACTCTCACCTTTGATTATAAAATCAAAACATGTTAATTCATGAAAGGAAGAAAAGGTTGTCGTTGAAGTCAATGTTACTTTACCTTTTTTTTATTCCTTTCTGCACAGACATCTCTTTTTTGTTAAAGCCAGATTCTCAATTTTGAATTTTTCTTCAATCTTATATCAGGAATAGACACTTATTTTGACTAACCGTTATATCAGTTAAACCAATATTCCAGTTAGATTTACAACATATAGGGGCAGAAAAGTCCTTTCACATTAACAATACCTATTTCCGGTTTTCTTGGAGGCGGATTTCATCTAGTGACAGTCCGCCACGTGGCTTAATCTGGATGATGCATTCGTCATCACGGTCACAGTTATTTTGATTTTAAATATGGAATCTTTAGGTTACGAAGAAGTTTGAAATTAAATTGTAGGATACCCAATTCGCCAAAAGAAAGCTTCTGGGTGGGCGTGTTCACACTTCCGATCGAATTGGGCTGTCTAAACGACGACGTTGACAGCCCGGTTCATTCATACGTTTCCAGCTTCTTTCAGGTAGAATTTGAAAGGAATAAACTTTTTTGCAATCGAATATCCCTTTTCTATATACCCTACCCTACCTTTTTTTTTCCTATTATTCACGTATTTTTGTGTTCTTATTATTCCCACGCGTATTTTCTACGTGTGATTTCTGCGGTGCACGTTTTTTCTTTCTCCTGCCAATTGGGTGCCAGCCCCACCAACCCTTCTTATTCTTCCTTGCTGATTTCTCTTTGTTTTCCTTAAAGCATTGTTCTTTCCTCTAAAAATTGGTATTTACTCGCAATTCCTACATTGGGTCGGGGATTTTGATTGCAGATAAGACAGGGTTGCTCGCTACTTATCAGGGTTATGATTTAGGTTTCATAAGCTTTTTCTCTGGGTTGAGTTGAGTTGGGTTTCTGCAATGAGTTCGTTTTCTGGTGCCATTCAAAGACCTCTTGTGGCGGCGGCTGCGGTTGCTGTTGCTTCTTTCTCTGCTGATGTCTCTGATAAATTGCCGTTCGGTGGATCATCACTTGATGGTTCTACCTCTACATCTTGTAGCAACGCACAAGAATCAGATTCATTGTGGGTTTCTCATATTTCGGATTCAAAACTTGCTAACCTCTCTTTTGTGACCCGAATTCCGGTTCCTGTGCCCAATGTTCAGTTCCGTGTGCCAAGTTTGGGTCACAATTGCGTTTCAAATTTGCACCATTCTTCAGTTTTCTCGTCACCACTTCTTCTGAATTATTATCATTCGGCTGATTTGCGCAAAGTGTCAAGGCCTGCTACACGTTCAGATGGTGCCTCCAATTCAACTTCTGAGGGCATGTATAAATGGCATTTGCCCGACCCGAATGCTTTATGTGATTCAAGTTGTTCATTGACAAAGTCAAGGACAGTGGTGGTGTTGCTGGGATGGTTGGGAGCAAGGCAGAAACACTTGAAAAAGTATGCAGAGTGGTACACTTCAAGGGGGTTTCATGTCATTACGTTTACACTTTCAATGGGTGAGATCCTGAGCTATCGTCCGGGAGGGAAGGCTGAGGAAAATGTTCAACTGCTTGTCGACCACTTGGCTGACTGGTTGGAAGGGGAAAATGGAAAGAATCTCGTCTTTCATACTTTCAGCAACACTGGATGGTTAACGTGAGTGGAATGTGTAATTTGCAAGCATCGAAGTTTACAGTGTTCTTCTGTTGTGTTTCTTCATTGGTTTGGTATTCATTGTTGCAGATATGGTGTTATTCTTGAACATTTTCAGAAGCAAAATCCAAATGTCATGGAAAGAATTAAGGGATGCATTGTAGACTCTGCACCTGTTGCGTATCCTGACCCACAGGTAAATTCTTATCCCTTGTGAAACTTGATGAACGTATCTGTTGTGTATATTTCGTGTTATCATTTGCTACGATGTCTGTACACTGCTGTCCTGTACACTGTCAAAATTATCAATTAAGTTGCCTTCTTGGGTTGCAATAGATTGATCAATTGAGAACTTGGTCTAGGGTATTGTGCTTGATTTTACATCTAAGGAATTGAGGCAACATTTGGTTGAGATCTTTGACTTTTTCAGTTTTATTTGGCCTTTATTCTTGGTGTGGGGATAATTAAATAGAAAAGAATGAAGTTATACTAATATCAGTTATTTTGAAGCCCTTAAGAAACTTTTTATGTTAAAATGACTAAACTGATACCTGGTTTTAGGAATGTTGAGGCTTATGCAAAATTCGGAGATATGATTTTAAGTATCTGATTACCGTTACAGGTGTGGGCCTCAGGTTTCTCTGCAGCATTTCTGAAAAAAAATAGTATTGCAACAAAAAGACGTGTGTTTTCTGATGAATCTGGCATTAAAGTATCCATTGGCAGCGAAGATGATTTAGGACTCAAACCTGCGGTAACAGAAGCAGCTTTGCAACTAATTCTGAAGAAATTTTTTGGGATCATTCTGGATCTTCCTTCGATAAATAGGTAAAGAATGACCCAAATTGTTCTTCTAATTGATTGTTTTTATAAAAATGTTCATATTTCATCCCAAGTTTTGCTTGTTTTTATTCCTGAAAATGGCTATTTTATGTGGGTATTCGACCATTGTTGATCAAAAACTGTCACAACAATATAATGGTTGAGGAATATGATCGTATTTGATGACAATTTAGAGATACAAATGTCCTAAAACAGGAGTATATAAATTAGTACACACGATTGTATCATTGTTGAATTTCTGGAGTTGAACTTGAATATGAATTGCTTCGGTTGGTTCTCTAGAAAAAGTGATATCTTGCAAATTACAATCCCCTTAAAATTTAACATTATACACTCAAGATTTTAACAAATTTCATTGCTGGAAAGTTGTATGTGTGTGATTTTTGGGAATAGGAGAACATTCCATAGAGAAACGTTATGGTCTTTCTGGTCTTGATTTCACAAGACATGACTAGACATCAAATAGATAAAGATTCAATATTTGTTTACATATATGATATCTTTAAATACTAATCATTCTGTTTAAGTTCCTATATGATAACTTTGGTCCTAACTATGATGATTTTGTTCAAACGCAGGAGGCTATCTGATGTTATGAGCATGTTGTCATCAAAACAACCAAGGTGTCCACAGTTATACATGTATAGCACTGCTGACAGGGTTATTCCTGCTGATTCTGTGGAATCGTTTGTAGAGGCTCAGCGTAGGGCTGGACATGATGTGAGGGCATGCAATTTTGTGTCCTCACCCCATGTTGACCACTTCAGGAATGACCCAAAATTATACACATCTCAACTCAGTCAGTTTTTGGAGGAGAGTGTTCTTAGCCGTTGTAAATCTCACTAATTGCCTCACTCACATACACCGTATAGTTCATTTCTTTTGATTTTTCAAAACAACCATTCCTTTAATGGGTCCTTAGGACTATATCAAAAGCCAACAACAACAACCTCATTGGGATTGCACAATTGTTCCCTCATAGATTATATTTGATTCATTCATTGTTATATATGATAGTGTGAATGAAAGACATATTACACAATTGGTCCCTCATATTCATTCATATATTGAATAGTGCAGATGAAAGAGATTGAAACTGTCTCCTTTGGTTGTTTCTTTTACCTTGGGTGGTGGGTGGAAAAGTGGCTGATATTCTGTTAACTATGTTGCTAACTATTGCAAAATATGTCCATTACTGATATCTGAATACAAGTTGTGAATTTTTAGATAAGGGGTTTGTTGCATATTTAAATTTTGAACTTGTGTTAATAGTGTAGTATGGTTTTATTGTAAATTAAAAAATATATATAAATTTCAATTAATTTTGGTAACATGTACTAAAATAAAATTTATTTGATTTTTTTTTCATGCATGGTAATTTTCATGACAACTTTCATAAACTGGAATCTTATTCGAATTCGTTTTCGTATTTCTGTTTAAAAAAATATATTGATGTCTATTTTCATATGTGAAGGTAATATTTTCACTTGCAATCGATCGTGCATGTGTCATCTTTCACTTTGGACACATGTTAAAGGGTATTTTCTTACTCTACCCTTATAACTACTAAGAAACCAAATATTAGCGTGGTTAAAACAAATTGGAAGATTATTGGGAATGAAATTGTGGCTAAATTTGTCATATGCTAAAATTACTTGAAAATTAGTTGTTGATGAAAAAATTAAAAATAAAATATGTTTAGTGTAAATTGTGACACTTGAGCATTGACGAGGGCGGGGAGTGAGCTCCTGGCAGGCTTTCACACATGGATGAATCGAACATATACCGGAATGAGAGGGATCTAGAAACTCTATAGGTATGGAACTATACAGTTGAAAGATAGCTTTAAGGGATTAATTTGGCTACTCGTATCACCAAATACATTTATTTTTCGGTAACTAACTCATAAGAACTTCATGATTAAAGCGGAATAAATAATGATTTCTATATATTGTTAATATTACTTTTGTTCGTGTCGATTAAAATTCATCTATAATATATGCCTTTTTTAATTATTATCATATCACATTTTTACCCTCTTAAAAATATCAACATTATGATAAAAACTATCTTAAAATTAAAAATGATTTATAATAAATTTTTAAAAAATTATTTATTTTATTTTATAGCACCCGTGCTTTCACTTATATTTATAAAGATTTTTAATCTATTAAAATCAAGATGAAAAATAATAATTACAATTGGAACGAGGCAACGTAATTTAGAAGAATCATCATGATTGCTTCTTTTTGAATCACTCAACACTGCTTCCACCACACTCTCTTCTTCTGATTCCCAAACTCATTGAGTTAGGGTTTCCTCTGCGTTAATGGCTTCAAATTCGATCCATGGCAACGGCGTATCGGGATCGAAGCTCTGCATAAACGACGTTCTAAGGGACGACGAGCTCCGTTCCGTTCTGGGGCGGGTGGAGACTGAGAAGGACAAGGAAACCTTCGGTTTGGTCTGCAAGCGATGGCTTCGGTTGCAGAGCACCGAAAGGAAGAAGCTCGCAGCACGTGCCGGTCCCCACATGCTCCGAAAAATGGCCGATAGGTTCACACGCTTGGTCGAATTGGACCTTGCTCAGTCCGTTTCTCGTTCCTTTTACCCCGGCGTCACCGATTCCGACCTCGCCGTCATCGCTAATGGCTTCACTTGCTTGAAGATCCTCAATTTGTATAATTGCAAAGGTTCCTTTTTTCTCTCTTCTTCCTTGTTTTTCTCTGATTTGCCTTTCAAATCTTGATTTTCTCTACTCTGATTTACTACGATTGTTTATTGTTTTTCTATATTTTTCTGCTATGTTAACTTCCATGGACGGAGGACTAAAAACAAAGATTTGACATCACTTTTAAAGGGTGTCCTTTATTTAGTTAGTTGTTTTTTCTAAGCTGGAGGGTTCAAGTTTTATGATTAACAGGGCAATGTTGTTGTGTAATATGCAGGAATTACAGATGCTGGAATGAAAGCTATTGGTGAAGGTCTTTCCTTATTGGAGTCGTTGGATGTATCTTACTGTAGAAAGCTGACCGACAAGGGATTTTCAGCCGTTGCCAAAGGCTGTTCTGGCTTGCGGATATTACACATGGCTGGTTGTAGATTTGTTACTGATGGTGTATTAGAAGCTCTCTCAAAAAACTGTCGTAGCTTAGAGGAGTTGGGATTGCAAGGGTGCACAAGTATCACTGACAATGGACTCATATACCTTGCAAGTGGGTGTCATCGGATCAGGTTTCTGGACATCAATAAATGCAGTAATGTCAGTGATGTTGGGGTTTCTAGTATTTCTAGGGCTTGTTCATCTTCACTCGAGACATTGAAACTCTTAGATTGCTACAAAATTGGGGATGAAACCATATTATCCCTGGCCGAATGCTGTCGTAATCTGGAGACTTTAATCGTTGGAGGTTGCCGGGATGTCTCTGCCGATGCCATAAAGTCGCTGGCTACTGCTTGTGGAAGCAGCCTTAAAAACTTAAGGATGGATTGGTGTCTAAACATTTCTGATTCCTCATTGAGATGTGTTTTAAGTCAATGCAGAAACCTTGAGGCACTGGACATTGGTTGCTGTGAAGAGTTGACTGATGCTTCTTTTCAGTTCATAAGCAATGAAGAGTCTGCCTTGAGTTTGAAGATTTTGAAGGTTGGTAATTGTCCAAAGATCACAGTCACAGGCATAGGCATTCTTGCGGGTAAATGCAGTTCTTTGCAATACTTGGACGTGAGGTCATGCCCTTACATTACGAAGGCTGGTCTCGACGAGGCTGGTTTCCATTTTCCCGAATCCTGCAAGATTAATTTTGATGGTAGCATCAGTGAGCCTGCTGTGCTTCTTTAATACCATAATAATTTCAAAGAATTGGTTTCACCGTTAGATCTTCATTCGTAAACTTATTGATAAGGCGTGCCTTTGTAAATTTGATGAGAATGTGATCTGCTCTGATGATGTTAGTTCTCTTGTGCAACCCATGTATCATGTAAGTGTACTAAAATGGTGTCCGATGTATCATATTTTATTAATCAGTTCGGTTGTAAATTTGAAGAGAACAATTGTTTTTGTCTTATTTTATTTTCTGTTCTCCTGCCGTATAGAAATCTGCTCTTTTCGCATGATTGACACTGAATATGAGCTTAGAAACCCCGTTTTGTGTATTACAATTAGTACAATTCGATCCTTTTTATGAAATTTAGAAGAAAAGTTAAAAGAGTTGTGGATTCTGGTAGTATCTGTAATCCACCACTTTTAAGTATCTGTAATCTACCTCCTGATAACTTGTTTTTGGTTGATTTGATTAATGGGAGTAAAAGATTGTGCAATCAGCATAAGAGAAAATGGTGGGCTTTTGGTAGAAAGGAAAATGGTGTTTCAAGTCAAGAGTCCTTTAATTAGTGGTGGAAAGATGAAGGATGGTCGTATGAAATCATTTGCAGAGATACTTTGATAGTGAAAAGGGGGAGACATTTCTTCTTGGTGAATGTTACCTTATTCCTGTCACTGCCAACATTTCTCCTGCTGCCTCTATCTCCATTATCCATTCTACTGCACTTTTTCAGTGAGAGAGGAAGAAGAAGAAGAAAACTTCATTCTAATATTTCATATATTCTAAAAACCTTATTATAGATTATACAAATCTTATTCTAAATATTATGTTCCAGAACATATTTCATATATTTTAAAAATTTGTTTTGGAAAACAAATTTTAATCAATGTCATATACGTTTTGAAAAGTTTATTTCAAAAAATTTATTATGAAAAGTTCATCTAAAAATTCATTTTATGTTTCGATTTTTTTTTAATTTTATTTTAGAAATACTGTACTGAATATTTTAGAAAACTTTTCTTAACTCTTCCCAGAACAAACGATTTGAAACTAAATTTAGAAAATGTAAAACATCACATTAAAAATTAGGAGGGTGCACTTAGAATTTATATTACTTCAAGATGAAAAGGGTACACGCTATCAATGTTTCAGGACTTTGTTACATATTCATTAACGAGGCCAAAATCTTTTTGACTGAAAACTTGCATTTTACGTTTATGAGTATTTATTTTAACATTTTGTTTAAGACACCTGTGTCTTTCATTGGTTATCAATGTGTTTCAAATAAATTATATAAGAGTTAAATATATTTTTAATTTTTAGTAAAATTTAAAATTAAAATTTCAATTTAATTTAATTTTTCAACTTGTGAAATAAATTACTTTAATTTTTTTAACCAAAATTTATTTAATAATATTGAATAAATTTAATAAAATTTAGTTAAAAAATCTAAATTTATTTATTTATAAAATTGGAAAATTAAATTAGATTAAAATTGAAAAAAAGAAGCTAATTTTAATTTCAACTAAAACTTAGATGTGAAAAGTATATTTAATCCACTTTATAATTCATATGATCAATATGTACATACATAAACCATAAAAAAAAAAGTAATGATTGTCGTTTCGTTAGACCTTGTTCTTTTAAGTAGATTTGAAGAAGTGGATTTGAAGGGATTTGAGAGGATTTGAAAATAAATTTTTTTGTCGTTTATTTGAGTGAATTTGGAGGTAAATGAGAATGAATTTGAAAATAAATTTTTTTAATTTGTCATGTCAATACAATTCTATACTAATTCTGACAAATTTTATTTCCAAATTCACTCTCATTTACCTCCAAATTCATTCAAATAAACGACAAAAAAAATTATCTTCAAATCCTCTCAAATCCCCTCAAATCTATTCTCTCAAATCCACTCAAAAGAACAAGACCTAAAAAATACTCATTAAAAAGGTAGATATTAACTTGTTTATGAGTTAGTTTAATAAACAAGTGGTTTTGAATTTTTTTTTTAATAATAAAAAACTTATGGTCAGTTTAAAATATATTTTATTAATTAAAGTAGGTTAAAATAGTTATAATTTGATTTTTTAAGATGTGTAGGTTAGAACTTACTGTTCCTTGGCCAGATTATTAGAAGGATTAACTTGATTCCACTTGAATGATTTTGTTAGATATTTTACTAGTTTATTTATTTATTATTCTTTCTATTTCTGATTCTTTGACTTCCTAGGCTAAAAAAAATTCCCTAAGGTAAGGTTCTTAACAAGTAAAATGTAGTTTTTAGGGTTTCCCTGATGAAGACATTTATAATTGCATGGTAAGAAGTTATGAAATGAGTTGAGAAAAGTTCAATTTTCCACAACTTGAAGACATTTCATTACTATTTTTCTAATTCTTTATTGGCCAAAATGAGACGTTAGATGAGACCCACTAATTAACACAAAAACTAAAATAACAAAAAATGAGAAAGATCCTTTACCAAATTCAACGATAATAAAAGACTATAACTAGACAACTATTGTTTTATTATTATTATTATTATTATTATTATTATTATTATTATNGTACATACATAAACCATAAAAAAAAAAGTAATGATTGTCGTTTCGTCTTGTTATAACAGATTTAGATTCCGTTAGACCTTGTTCTTTTAAGTAGATTTGAAGAAGTGGATTTGAAGGGATTTGAGAGGATTTGAAAATAAATTTTTTTGTCGTTTATTTGAGTGAATTTGGAGGTAAATGAGAATGAATTTGAAAATAAATTTTTTTAATTTGTCATGTCAATACAATTCTATACTAATTCTGACAAATTTTATTTCCAAATTCACTCTCATTTACCTCCAAATTCATTCAAATAAACGACAAAAAAAATTATCTTCAAATCCTCTCAAATCCCCTCAAATCTATTCTCTCAAATCCACTCAAAAGAACAAGACCTAAAAAATACTCATTAAAAAGGTAGATATTAACTTGTTTATGAGTTAGTTTAATAAACAAGTGGTTTTGAATTTTTTTTTTAATAATAAAAAACTTATGGTCAGTTTAAAATATATTTTATTAATTAAAGTAGGTTAAAATAGTTATAATTTGATTTTTTAAGATGTGTAGGTTAGAACTTACTGTTCCTTGGCCAGATTATTAGAAGGATTAACTTGATTCCACTTGAATGATTTTGTTAGATATTTTACTAGTTTATTTATTTATTATTCTTTCTATTTCTGATTCTTTGACTTCCTAGGCTAAAAAAAAATCCCTAAGGTAAGGTTCTTAACAAGTAAAATGTAGTTTTTAGGGTTTCCCTGATGAAGACATTTATAATTGCATGGTAAGAAGTTATGAAATGAGTTGAGAAAAGTTCAATTTTCCACAACTTGAAGACATTTCATTACTATTTTTCTAATTCTTTATTGGCCAAAATGAGACGTTAGATGAGACCCACTAATTAACACAAAAACTAAAATAACAAAAAATGAGAAAGATCCTTTACCAAATTCAACGATAATAAAAGACTATAACTAGACAACTATTGTTTTATTATTATTATTATTATTATTATTATTATTATTATTATTATTATTATTATTATTATTATCATTATTTATTATTATTATTATTATTATTATTATTATTATTATTATTTGTTATTTAATATTATTATCATTATTATGATTACTATTACATTATTATCCATTTATTATACCTTCCAAACAAACCCTGTCATTTCTTTTATCTCCGCTCCTTCCATCTCCGCCGTACCATGTCGGAAGCACCACCGTCTCAGACACCGCCTCAAGCCGCTGACGCACCTCCGCCGCCATACTGGTGCTATCACTGCGAGAAGCGCGTTTCCGTTGAAACGCCCGCCAATCTCCCCGACGTCGTCTGCGGAGAGTGCAAAAACGGCTTCGTGGAAACCATCCCCACGCCGTCGCGCTCGCGCACGCCCTCCGCCTCCTCCGATGACCCTTACTTTGGCTCGCAGTTCCTCCAGGTGCTTCGCCTCATCGCGCAATCTGCACGTGATGATGACGCGTCGCCGCCGCCGCCGCCGAGCCGTTCTCCGGAGACCGATTTCCTCAGGATCGAGCTGGGCGGCTGGGACAACGAAGAGGAGAACGAAATCGAGAACGATGACGATAACGGCGACGAGGAGTTCGAGGAGCATGAGGAGGCGGAGGATCGCTCCGGCAACGAGGATCCGCACGGAGATGACGAGGATCTGAGAAGGAGAAGGCGCGAGCTGCTTCGTCTTCGGATTAGGGATTTGGCGACGCGCACGAGGAGCATGCGGAACCGGATCTTGGATTGGGCAGAAATTCTGATGGGCCTGGAGGACAATTCCATTGAGTTCCGCCTCAGGGTGCCGGAATCCGACCGCTACGTCGGGAATCCGGAGGATTACGTCGACGCGGCGGAGTACGAGGCGTTGCTGCAGACGCTGGCGGAGACCGACGGCGGAGGCAGGAGAGGAGCGCCGCCGGCGTCGAAGTCGGCGGTGGAAGCCTTGCCGACGGTGAAGATTGCGTCGGAGAGTGAAACTGTGGTGTGCGCTGTATGTAAGGATTTGCTGGGTGTTGGAGAGGCCGCTAAGAGGTTACCGTGCGGGCATCAGTATCATGGAGATTGCATTGTTCCTTGGTTGAGCTCTAGAAATTCTTGCCCTGTTTGCAGGTTTGAGCTTCCAACGGATGATAGGGAATATGAGGAAGAGAGAGTGGTTAATGCTGCTTCTTCGAATTCGAACGGAGCTTCGAGTTCCGGTGGAGGTGGAAGGACCATTGTTTGATTCCGCTTGGTATGTTCCGTTTTGCTCCGCTCTCTTCTGTCCTGCCATTTCTGTAATATATTTCGTGCTTTCTGAATTTCTTCTTTTTTGTTAGTGGATTTTCATCAAAGCTTGCACCATGTTATTATTTATTTGAAGCTTTTATTATGTAGTTGGCTTCTTAGCTATCGGATGCTAAGATACTTGTATATAGCACATTTGAATCAATGTGATCAGATCACACTACCTCAATCGAATTTGTACTTTCTCCCTGTTATGCATATTCCTTTTTGGTTGCTCGACTCAATCATGTCATATGTTCTGTTTGTTGAATAAGTATACATAACCCCGTGCATTTGTTTCTGGTTTTGGTTGTCCCTGAGATTATTGATATTCTTTATTTCCTCGAAGAAGAGATGTTGTTTAGGACTTGGGAGAGGGAAAGAAAGGAAGAGTGCAGAACAGAGCTTAAGGTAGCATCCATAAGTTTTTTTTTGGTCACTGTTCAGTTCAGCAATGGAAGAAGCATTTGAGTACCAGTCTAATGTCCATTGTGTGAGTAACGTAAAGAGGCTACGAATATCACTTATTCGTTAAGGGAGGCATCCGAAAAGATTGAACTCTAAAGATTTACTCATGTGAATCAAGCTGGTAGCTTGAAGATGAAACTAACACTTCCTTTCATTTCTCGAGCAATTTGATTAGCATGGGTTTTGTGAGTATCCGATTTCATTATTGTCCCTGCTCTGTTAAACTAGAATGAGAATCTTAATTTGAAACTTGTCTGTCGCACAAATACTCTAGTGGCCAGGAAAGAGGAACAACAGAAAGGCGCTGCCATTTTTCAAACAAAGAATGAGAGAAACTGGAACATGACTGCATTAATGGGCAGGAAAACATACGATATGAAACAGGAGATTAATTTTATAAACTAGTTGTACCACTTTGGTGGAGAATTTCGTGGTTCAGGATATTTTTCTATCTTTATAGGATGGAGCGATGTCTAAAGACGCTGCTCCTAGTATCTTTAGTTTTTCTCTTTTTTTTTTTACCTAAAAAGGGAACAGGCATGACTCTGATAAGCTCTCTAGATACACCAGATATTGTCTCTGCATTTTGGAAAAGGAGAGGTTTGAAACTGTTTCTACCATACTTTCTGTTCCTTTGCGACTCATCAACAGTGTTTGATTTGATTAAGGACTTCATCTTCGATTCTCCTATATAGTTACTTTGTCATCTTCTGTGACATGTATAGGCATTGTTCATCTCTATTCAGTAAGTCAATTGTCTAAACACGTTTCAATGATGAATGTTCCGTGAGTGCAAGCTGATGAACCTTATTTATATTTTCACAGTAGTCATAAGTTTTAGGTTGAGTTGAGAAATCATTGACTGCTTGGTCCTTTTGCTCCATTTCTTCTACATTTTATTCTCTATGTGAGATGCTTGTTTTCTTTTCTGTCTTGGGAAAATTTTCGAATGAAATAAATGACCGTGTTTGATTAAATAGGTTCAGATAAAATGATCATTAGCTTTGGCAAGATAGTCATTGTGAATCTTTATAAGACTCTGATGGGAGATGTTAAGGCTGTGAGAAGTCCTACTTCAACACCATTTTCATATCCTTCAACTTCTGGAAACGAGATTATTAAATTTATGATAGTAGTCCTTGATTATGTTTATTTTATTTGGCGGACTTGTGCTGATGACTCGTCTGATTTTGAAGGATTAAATTGAGTTACCCCATAGGTGATATATAGTTATGGACAATGTTCTGTGGCTCAACGTTCAAAAATGTCCAAAAATGTCCACATAGAGAGTATGCTATAGAGAATTAGATTTAGCTTACGTGACAAAAATTGATGACGGTCGATTTTTGTTTTCATTGAAAAACTAAAGATGCCACACTTTGCTAAACAAAATACAAAGATGGTCAACCAAATTTTGTTTTTCTCTCTTGTTGCTGAATATATGTTTAATCATCTTTTTCAAACTAAGATTACCTTAAATCGCTTGATTTTCGATTGTGTCATAGTTAAACGATAGTTATAAAAACTGAAAACCTTAATATAATTAGAATAAAAATATACAGGGAATGTTTACAGCATCATCGTCTTTACTGTTTAGTTTGTGATTCAGCTTTATGTTTTTGTCAAGATAGCGTTCCCATCCTGAATATTCTGAGGTCCTCTTTGCAACATGATAATTGTTGCTGTTATTACCTTATCACAATCATGGACTGTCATGGCTCATAGTTGCTACCATCACTCTTTTGTCTTGTCCCCTCCACTCATTTCTGCTACCACTTTTATTTATTCTAACAAAAATCAGTTTGGAATTACACCTATAAATTATAAATCATTTCTGCTACCACTTTTATTGTATATTTTTAAACTTAAAACTTCATACTGCTTCAAAAATTTAAAATTAAAAAGTCCATTAAAATTACATTGATCTCAATGTTATGTATTAGAAGACTTATTATCTCTTAATGACCTAGTTAGTTAAGGAAACATATTAAATATTAGGTGGAATAGGAATATGATTGGGTTGAGAAATAAGGGAGGAATCATTTAGAAAAATAACATCTGAGCCAACTATACAAGGGATCGATACTACTCTTTATCAAAAATATATGTTTTACTTTCTCATTTTTATCCAACGTAGAATTTAGATTCACACTTAGATTTCCAATAGTTTCATCCATGGTATATATTTAAGTGTGAAGCCCAGAAAAAAATAGAGTTAAAGGAATTATAGAAGATCAATAGTGTGTAATAAAGAAAATTATATCAATCATATTAAACATTATAACAATCATATTATATGAAAATTGTTTAATACCATTTTTAATTTTGTACGTTAAAGAATTTGAAGAAGAAATGCGAAAGCGACTTTCACAAAGTGTCACGTTGCCAAACAACTTCCATCCTTTCCCAAGCAACAGTGCAGGTTATGACTCAGTTCTGTCATAATTAGTTTTCGTAGGAAGTCATAATTAGTTATAAAGTTGATTAATAATAATAACAATGTGTTAAAAAATTGAGAACTAACAACTTAATAAAGGAATGAGTTGACTTATGGAACTAAACATATTTAATAAAATGGTTAAATATCTTTTATATCCTTAATTTTTTTTTTAAATTAAAATTTATTTTTATTTCAAAATTTGATATAATTTGATTTCAATCTTTAAACATGAATAAATATAAATTTTAATGTAAGGGTTAAACAAACTTTAAAATGAATAGATACAACTTTCTTAATTTAGTTGCGTTAAATTTTTTATATATTAAACAACATTACACAAATCTTATTAAATAGTAAAAGGAATTAATGTTTAGAAATATGTTTAATCCTTAATAAAACTTAAAACTAAATAATCAATGAGTTGATTTATGAAAATGAAAATATTTTATAAAATTAATCAATCAAGCGATACACATAAAATGATGTAAAATGAAATTTTATAAGTCTTATCAATTGAACTCAAGAAAATACATACTAAATATATATTCAGGATAAGATTGATCTCTTGAGATAAATTAGAAATATAATAATACAAATATTAACAAATAAATGAAAATAGGAATAAATATGTAATCTAGAATAAATTCACCAAATAATATAACAAAACCTAATAGAATTAAATAAAATCAAATAATAATCAATTAAGAAAATAAACATAAACACAATACAGAGATATGAACCTTAATTTTAACTTATAAGCTGACAAGGGTACTAAATTATAAAAATAACGTATCAAAATGCAGAAGAAAAAACTACTGACAGAGTTCTCTGATCAAGAAAATCATAAGTTTTCTACAACCTAATTTTGTTTGATTGATTTAGACTCAAAATTTATTTTTTAAAAGTTAAAAAATTTCAAAGAATAAACTTTTCTGTGTTCAACAAGCAAACCAAAAGAATAAAAACCAGCAGTTTTTATTTTATTTTAAATCATATATATCATTAACAAAATTATGTAAAATCTTTGTACATCTTGAGAAGCTTTGCAACTTCACAGAATAAGTGAAGAAGCAGATGGGACAAACAATTTTACTGATGCAGTATTTTCCTCTAAGATTGAGAAACAGCCTGCTGAAGAGATTTGAGAGCTTTCTGATAATGAAAGAAACCCAAGAACCAGAAATCGAAATCATCTACTGTAACTATTTCTATGTACTTCTGCGAAGGCTTTTCCACATTCTGACTTTTGTTCACAGACTTTATCTTTGTAATGGGAATGGAGACCTGAAATGACAGAGTAAAACATCAGCAAAAAGTATGAAGAAAGATTGAAGAGATAGCTAGCAAAGAAAAATTGATTAAGAAATTCACCTTATAACGAACTCTGATATTTTCTCCATCTGGGGTTGTGACCCTGATGGATCTGTCACTGCAAAATGCAACTTTATCAGTGGATATGAAGAGAAGACCAGCCATAGGACCAGATGTGGTTGATAAGTAGCATTGTGATGCTTTCAACAGCTTCTCTCCTTCTGCAACACTAAACAGTTGCATGAACACTTTTTCTACTCCACCAACCTGAAGAATTCTTGCTCCCATACTCAATTTCCCTTTCACTGTATCTGTTATCTTTGGTCCAAGCTTCACAGCTGTTACAATTACAACAGGTTTAACCAATCAATAAGAGCTTTGTTTTGTTGTGACAGAAATGTTTGCTGTGTCTTAAGGTTCTGTGCCAAACATTATGACAGAAATGTTTGCTGTGTCTTAAGGTTTTGTGCCAAACATTATGACAGAAATGTTTGCTGTGTCTTAAAGTTCTGTGCCAAACATGAAACAGTGCTTGTTCTATGTTTTGCAGTTGAGAAAAAGTGAGAATTGAACATAAGGTTTTAAAGATTACATACCATGTTCTCGGACTCTTTGCAAGAATCCAGATTTGTGATGTGTTCTACTTTGCTTTGATTTAGTGATAGACTTGGTGTATTTTCCACGAGCATCAGGCAAATAGTATCTCTTTGATGATTTCCCACCATGGTATGTGGAGGTGACAGAAATTCCATTAGCAAGCTCATGAATAAGTGTGGCCTTCATTTTTGTTGTTATCTTTTGGAAGTTAAATGCTCTTCTTGAGATAATATTCAAGAACTCTTAACAACTTTGGTTGATGAATCCTTGTATTTTAGAAGGGTATATAAATGGCCAAAAGGAAACAAGTTGACTCCTAACTTTTTGCTGGGTGAGTCAGATATGGATCATCATGAAGACTAAAAGGAAAAAAGTAATTCAAAATTTGAAGATTTGCATGTTCGGTTGCCCCCAGAAAAAAGAAAAAAAAAAAGAAAGATATGTTTATTTTTATTAAAGATTAAAGGCAACTTTCTGATGTTCAAAGTATCCCTCTGTATTGATTCTGTTGAATGTCAATGTAAGATCTCTGAATATATAAAAACTTGAAACGTGATTGGACTTGAATAATTGGCTTTTAGCTCATTTGGATATTGATCAATCTAGGTTGGTCATTGGTTTGCATTATTTCTATATATTTCAAACTACACCTATGATTTTTCCAAGGTTTATAGACAGAACCTGTTGTTCTTGTTTCATGTTTCATGTATCTACAGAGATAATGTTGTCACGTTTACTATTTCTGGCTGGAAGTTTTGCCATGAAAATGGGGAAAGAGAATAAGAGAAATTTTCCATCTACCCCATAAAAAGAAATTATAAGGTTCGAAATGAAAAGCACAGGGCAATATTTTTCTGATATCTTAGGAAAATAATAATAATAATAATAACTACCAACTGTTTAGCCTTTAGAAAATGCGACCCTTTTGAAAATGGGTGGAGGAAAATAAAATATTTTGGTCTGCTGAGACAGTGCCACGTGCATGATGACAAAACACGTCAATTTCCACTTTAGTTTATTCAAAAATGCAAATGGAAAGGTGTCATTTAAGCTTTCTGAGCTGGAATTTCACCTTTCTGATGGCAGACCTCTATAAGTTTTACTATTATTAGATAAAGTAAAGAGAAGAAAACTTTGCCCTTCCCACATTGTATTTAAATATATTTATTTTTCAGTCGTAAACGTGAGAACCTACATCAATTTAAGGTACGTATTTTATGTCTGAGATGAAGCTGGTATTGAAAACTAATCTCAGCAAGGTTTTTGAGGAATTCTGGAATGAAGATCACAACTATCAAAATCAGAAGGCTTTCTCTAATTTTTCAAGTCATGTCATATATGCATATGAATAGAGGAGCATCCTTCAAGAGGATGAAAAATCATTTTTGAGCTAGTGTGCTTTATCAAGTGGGTGAAAAGACTATCATAATTTGAGTTAGCTAGATGTCAGTGCCATGTTAAATTCTAAAAGAAAAAGAATGGTACATGACATAGACAAATCATTTAGGTCAGATATATGTATTGATGTATTGTATTTTTAAGTCAATTAAAAACAAATTATATATATATATATATATATATATATATATATATATATATGATTTGAGTCTAAAAACTTTAAAATAATTTAATCTCTTCAAAAATATTAAGTTTATGTTTACATGGTGTTTAACTTATCATTGTTATCTAATACCTAAACTTAGACTTATATTTATATTATTTTCAAACATTAAGGAAAAGTAGGAGTGTCTAAGGTTAGAGATGGACATCATGTGCTAGAAACAATAGAAGAAGACATACTTCAATGTTTTGTGGAAAAGGATATTATGGCCAAATCATTCCCACATCACCCCATGTCCCACACGGAAAGCTCAGTCTGCAAGTTCCTTCTGTCATCAGTTAATATTTTGTATATTGAAAAGGAAAAGAACATCATTTCTTGTTACCTAATAAGAGGTATTTATGTTGTGTTGTGGCCCTGAAATTTGAGGAAAAAGATTCAGTTTAGTATACCAGAATGTTGTTTAAATTGTTGTGGTTCTGATTTATGACGATTCATTGTGTGTGTAAAGTTTGTGCATGTTGTCAAGTGGTGTGACTGATAGAAAGAACAGCATAGTGTGAAGTGGGTACCAACTAATGGTTTACAGGTATAAGAAGTTATCATTTGATTTTGTAAAACTCTTATCGTGTGCCCACAAAACTAACTTTTGTACCTAACACACCCTTTTTCAGTAAACATTTGTAGAACAATCCACAGCATGCCTTGATTTGATCCACTTGTTACACATGACCTTAGGAGCATGCCTTGATTTGATCCACTTGTTACACATGACTTAGGAGCATGCCTGATTATCCACTTGTTATTTACACATGGTCTTAGTAGAAATATTTATATTTCAAATTCTATCTCTTGGATTACAATTTTATGCATTATATAGATATTGTAAGTCACGGAAGCATGAAGAAAGGAGTATTTTAACTGTTCTTTATTGTCTTAAATTTTGATTCCTAAATAATGTTACGATACCGTATACTCGTAGGAATACTGAGACCACCTTAAAAATAATTTATAATCAAATTTATTAGTAAGTGTCATTTATTAGACATTTAGTGTGATTACAACTTTATTAATCATAAGTTTATCTCAAAACCTATAAGTATGAGATAAGAAAGTAAGTGATTATATTTATTACAAATTTAAGATTTCACCGTGATACCCTATCAATTAGATTGTTGACTTGATGTCGGAATACCTTTGTTAAATATCTGTATGTGTGAAGGTTAGACAGTTATTCTCAACCATATACCCGAAACAATTAAATTATTTGACAAATTTTTAATTTTTTAATTTTAGGATTTTGACTCTCTAATTAAGGAGAAACAAAAAAGATTGAAAATTTAAATCTTACTAGTAAGTCTAATTTTTTCTACTAATACTCATGAATAAAAGTATTAAGTGTTTTCTACATTTAGAAGGTAATCTTCGTCATAATTTTTATTAGAAAAAGTGCTAAATATAATATGGATTCTTATTTTAAGCTAAAACCATTGGAATCTCACACCATAACATGCTTTACAAATAAGCTACCATCCAAAAAGTATTAGGTAAAAAGGACACATGGACAAACAAAGTGGGAAACTTGAAGGCTTTAGTATGGAAGCCAAATCATTCTGTTGTAAATATAATTACTCAATGCGTGTAATTTAATTATTTAGTTAACTTAATTACTAAAATAAATATTTATTAAGCTAGTAAAAACATTTTAAAAATTTGGTATCTCAACATTTTATAGAAATTATCAATATATATATATATATATATATATATATATATATATATATATATATATATATAGTATTTATAATATTAGCAAACTTCAATATACAGAATGGACATATTTTATCTTATAAGCATCGTCCTAAAACAAATTAACAAAGTCATGGTTTCTGAAATTTGTCAAAAAAACTATAGTCCACTATTTGAGAATTAAAAGATAGATATAAGCAACATTAAAGAAGATTAAATTGACAAAATCTAGTCCACTATTTGAGAATTTCACTTGTTTAACTTAGAGGTTATGATATGTATCATAAAAAATAGACCTATAATGAAGTATCTATTTTTTTTTTCAAAAATTATTTCTAATACATCAAGTAATCCAGGGAAATTTACAAATAAAGTGAAAATTTATATAATAATTATAAAATGAGTAGATTCTTAAAAGAAAAGGTACTTTTGTGTGTAGGTAATATTTGAAATCACAACTTCAAAATAGAAATTGTTGATTCAAGCACAACTTTGCATTCATCCAAGTCTTTAAACTTTAGAAGAAATTGTGATTGCATTCAAAAGTTTTAATTTTTGTTAATATCAGTTTGCTTCCATTTATTATTTATGATTTTTGTTACAGAAGTAATGTTATGAGTGATGATTCTTATTTATTTTTTCTCCGTATAATCTTCGCTCTTTGCATCCTTACTCAGAAATATAGAAATGAAGTAAACAATAAATTTAAGTTAATGTGATAAATAATCTAATGATCGGTTTGTAATATGTGACTTTCTAAAATGTACGTTAACAATGTCTTTTACAAATTCATACAATTTGGCAGCTAGCAGTTTTGTTCCATTTTTTCAAGTGTTTTCTCTTTAATTTCTACTCCTATACTGTAATCTTCCTTCACTGGTTTCTAACATACCACATCCATTCACTGTGATTGAAGGTCAAATGTAAGAGGAATATTTACAATGAACTGAAATCTCTTTTATCATAAAACTCAGTATCTTCGATCATAACTGCCAAACTTTTGTTTGTTTCTTTGAGTTCAGATTCTGGATTTTGCTAGCCAGTATAGTTAAGCCTGAGAAACTGCCTCCTGAAGATATTGGAAAGTCTTGTGATACTTTAAGACACCCATCAACCAGAATTCGAAGTTGTCTTCTGTGACAATCTCAATGTACTTCTGTCTTGGCTTCTGCATTTTTTCAGTTTGGTTCATGGATTTGATCTTCTTCAATGGAATAACAACCTTATAACGGATCCTCAACATGTTACCATTCTGAGTAAAAACTTTCACTGTTCTCTCACTGCAAAAGGCAACCTTGTAGGTGGAGATGAATAGAAAACCTGCTAGAGGACCAGATGTGGTAGACAGATAACACTGAGAAACTTTCAAAAGCTTTTCTCCTTCTTCAATAGTAAAAAATTGCTGAAACACTTTTTCGACTCCTCCAACTCGAAGAATGCGAGCCCCTAAGCTTATCTTTCTCTTCACAGTTTCAGATATATTTGTCCTCAGTCTCACTGCAGTTTCATAGATAAACAGAATTAGATCGGCTCACCATGCTAAAAAATTTGAGATATTCATATGAATACATTTGAAAAAAGAAAAAAACTTACTTTGCTTTGATGTTGAAGTTGAACATTGACATTGAGTTGCAGGACCAGTTAATCTGTTAACTGGCTTTTGAAGCTGACCATGTGTTACTGAAGTTCCAACAACTAGCTGACTCAGAAGTGATGAAGTCTGCATGTTTGATGACTGATAATTAAGGTTTCTGTTGTGTAATTGAAAGAATCAACAGCAGAAGGTGAAGAAAATGGTTGAACTTCTTAAAGGTTGCTATTGGTTTTGATGATTTTCTTGTGTTGCAAAGAGCTATTTAAAGGGATGAAAACTTGAATATTTTTTCCTTTTGGAAGGATGACTCAACCTTAGATCATCAACCACGTTTCTGATTGATATCAACGCACTGACACAGTGGCATGGAAGAAAGTTCTTACAGATAATATTTTGACGTCATGGATTGTTTGGCTACTTTTAGAAAGTAAGAAGATTGTGCATCAGCATTCAAATTAGCTTTTTCAAAACTAAAAAAATCCTTGAAAGGTTGTTTTAAGAGGATACCATCATGTATCTTCAGGAGCAAGGCTGCATGGTGATTGATGGAAGTAAATAAATAAGAGTCACATAAACCATTGGAGCCATGCACTTAAAGCAATTAAACTGTAAAAGGTTGTTTCATGAAATACACCAACTAGTTGCAATACTTTTAGTTACATCAACTTGCATCACTAAGGCCATTTCAGCCTTGCCTTTTGCTGCTGTTCTTACCTCAAATTGAGACCTGGTTTTCATCCCACTTCCAGGTTGAGGTAATGTCTGCTTTGAAGCTCAGAGTTACATTCAAGGAAATGTTTTGAAGGATTCATTGTGGAGATATTATATGTATGTAACATGAATAACACCACTTTTCGAAACATTGAGTTATAAGTCTTTTTTTATACGATGTTTTGTTGGAAATCTAAGTGTGAGTCCAAGTCTTACATTGAATAGAAATGAGAAAGTAGAACATTATATAAAGGGTGAAAGACCTATTAACATGTTGTCTTAAGATTTTGGGTAGAGAGTGGTGTCAATTCCTTGTATGGTTAGACTCAGATTTCATTAGTGTTTGTTTCATTATTCTTTCAATATGAAACTTAGATCATTCCGGATTTCCACTGTTGGAACATGTTCTTAAGTCTATCTCATTGCCTATGTGAACCTTTTGCAATTAATGTAAAATATCATAATTTTTTCTGTTTCTAACAGGAGGTTGAATGAGATACTAGATTCATGAAAGAATAATGCTAAAATAATGTTAAGACTTTATGAAAAGTTCCAAGTTGGGTATTGCATAGGGTGCATATAGTGTGCACAAAGTAGGCACTAGCTAGACAAGCTGACATATATGCTGACATGGAGACAACACAAAAATCTCTTTCTTTTTTAAGGGAAAGGGATCATTCCATTCCCCAAATGTAGATTATGCTTTATCTTATTTTCAGTGATTGACTTACCTTTGAAGAAATTGATGTCATTAGTCTAAAACCTCGCTCTGATGCCTTTGGGGGTTTGAATCTAAACTTCAAACTGAGGCAGTCTTTAACGAAGCCATCAGTGCTTTTTGTTGAATCAAAATATATCCATGCATAAAGTGAGAATGCTGACAGGGCTATGAGTGAAGGGATGATTAAAAGAAAAAATAGTAAATCTATATGGAATGTGAAATTGTTTAATGTTTAAATCAGAAATGAAAAGCATATGTAACAGCACGTTAGCTTTGAAAGTCTTGTATCAGAAGAGTTTTTGACATTCTCATAGTTTAATAACAAGCATTTGCAGAAATTGTTTAATGTGTAAAGGTGATATGTATGTACTATATATATATATATATATATATATATATATATATATGTTTATATATCCAAGTTTATAATATAGAATTTTCTTTTTTGTTTTCTGTTTGAGCAATGCTTGTGACACCTTTGACATTATATTTTTATTTTTTATTTTACTGTATCTTTAACTAATTTGTTTTTATACTTTTTTGGATCATAAATATTTGTATATATATATATATATATGTGTGTGTGTATATATATATATATATATATATATATATTCAATCAATTTTATTATATTTTGTAATATTACATTATTATTTATTTTAAGAAAAAAATAGAATATTTAAAACTTCAAAAGTCTCCATTTCTATGAGAACAATATACAATAAAAATGAATGCTGAAAAGGTCAGAAGAAATATTGAATTAAGTATGGGATTCTTTTAGTAATAGAAGAAAGGAGAAAGGAATGCTCCTTATAATACTTATTAAAGTTTGGATATGAAAAGTCTTTCCAGTTACTAAAAGAAAAGAATAAACATGAGTAACTTGTAGCTACAGTTCTTGTTAATGTTCTTTTGGAACAATTATTTAACACCAATCCAAAAATATGTTTAAAATATTTGAAATTTGACAGGACGAGGAAAGTTATTTTTCATACATACTGTTCCAGTAAAAAGCTAAGTTAATATATGCTTTTTTGTTTATAATTAAAGTGGCACCTATTATCTTTTAAATAAGATGATAATATTTCAATTATAAAATATAAATACAAAAAAATAATAAAATATAAACTCTTCTATGTTTTGCTCCTAGCACACTTTACAATTACACAAAAGTTCATAATAAATAATTATATTAAATATATAAGTATCTCTATGATATTAAAGAATGTCCTATGTATTACATTGTTTTGGACTTAGACTAGTTTGTCAGACTCAATTAATCATTGTCTAAATATAGTCACCTCTTATCAAAATCTTAAGCGATAAAACTTATGCTTTTTTCTAATTATATATTGTTTAAAATTTACATTTCTCTTCTATGTGGAACCCAAATTCATGAAAGAGTTACAAAGAACAAGTTAAATAATAAATTAAAAAAAATTCAAAACCTCGTTGCATTAATGTTTTGAACAAATACATTGATAAAGAAGTTCAACTACCTGGATTTTATTGAAGGAATGGAAACTGGAAAATGAATCCCGACCCTTTGGTGTGATGACTCAACCTTAGATCATAAGATAAAGTTGGACAAAGTAAAGAAAAGTCTATAAAAAATGACCTATACTTGCCATTCTTAACCTAAAATATATTGTTTTTTGCTATCTTGGTCACGAAGGTTGACTGAAGATACCAAATTTATTGATTATGTTGTAAATTGATTCATGCACAATCCAAGTGAAGTTCACATGACTGTTGTTCTTCTTGGGAATTTATAGTATTTGAAGTCAGAACGTGCAAAGTTATACTAATAGAATTAATTCGTTGGTTGACAATGTAAGATTTTTTACAATCACTGTACATAATCGTTAAACTCCTGAATAGTTATACATAAATTTGACTAAAAGCTTATAAATCAATGTGTAATTGAGCCTCAAATTTCTCTGTTTTTCCTTCACTATACGAAAAGTTTGTCCCTTCCGCAACAAATGATGTTGAATTCTTGGATTCACAATGAGATTTGTTGGCATCCAAGTCTTCATCTCATGAACCACATCCATTCCTTATTTACAATGAACTGAAATCCCTTTTACCAAACCACGACATTTTCAATGACAGCATTCAAATTCTAGTAGCTTTCATCTTTTGTGTCTGTTTGTCCTCTTAACATGAATCTTCGACTTTGAAAAGTGGATTTTGCTACTCACTCAGCTCACTAAGCTTGTGAAAGGGCCTGCTCAAGATATTTGAAGGTTTTCTGGTATTTTAAGACACCCATAAACCAGAAATCAAAGTTGTCTTCCGTGACAATCTCTATGTACTTCTGGGTTGGCTTCTGAACATTTTTACTTTGATTCACACACTTTATCTTCTTCAGTGGAATGGCAACCTGCACATTTCCAAATATACTTCAGAACTTCAACGAATCTTGGATAAGGAGGAACAGAGAAATTTGAAGATGGCTATGATAAAGTTATTCAAGGAGAAGAAATCAGGAGGTAAAATGAATAAATCTTTTGTAAGTCAAAAAATCAACTTGTGCATTTTTACTTCGAAGAAGTTAGTCAGAGAACTACCAACAGAAGGTTAAATTGCAAAAGATTGCTTTGAAGTTTGTCACTAACCTTATAACGGATCCTCAACATATGGCCTGTTTGAGTGAAAACTTTCATTGATCTCTCACTACAGAATGCAACTTTGTCTGTGGATATGAAAAGAAAACCTGCTAAAGGACCAGAAGTGGTGGACAGATAACACTCTGAAGCTTTCAAAAGCCTTTCTCCTTCTCTCACACTAAAAAACTGCTTATACACGTTTTCCACTCCCCCCACTCGAAGAATGCGAGCCCCTAGGCTTAACTTTCTCATAACAGTTTTTGATATATCTGTCCTCAATCTCACTGCAATATTACATAAACAGAATCAGTTCCATCCACCAAGCTAAACAATCTCAGGTATATATGTAAACAAGTCTTAACAAAGTTAGATGTTTGTCAGTAAAGAAGAAAAATTTACTTTGTTTTGATGTTTTGGTTGAACGTTGGCATTGAGTGGCAGGACCAGGCAAGTATCTGTTAACCGGCTTTTGAATTTGATCATAAGTTGCTGAGATGGCTGGAGTTCCAACAACTAGGTTATGAAGAAGTGAGGTCTGCATGTTTGGTGATTAGTGTTACCAGATTTGGCCTAACAGTCTCCTAGGTGATAGCAGTTTCTGCTGTATCAGAGAAACCAGGGTGATAGAAGCTCTGGTAGATTTGTAAGGAAGATATTTTCACTTGGGTTGATGGTGCCCTCTTATTCTGAAGAGGTATTTAAGGAGATGAAAACTAGGAGGTGAATCTCACCTTTGGGGGGATGACTCAACCTTTGATCACCAATTGATAGATGTAAAGGCATTGGCATGACAACTTGAAGGGAAAGTTATTCAAGACAATATTTTGATGCATGGATTGTTTGGCTGCTTTTAGGAAAAAGTAGCATAGCAAGTCAACCTTTTCAAAATTAAAAAAGGAACCTTAAAGATTAATTCTAAGAGGCTTAGAGAAAGGTTTGTATACCTTCAAGAGCAAGGTTCCATGGTGATTGATCCAAGTAAGGAAATAAAAGCATTCCTGCTTATAGCATGTTGCCAAATGTTATCACACAAACCAATCTATAACTGCACTGTTTTGGAAACATGTTTGGAAATCAAGCAAGAAAAAGTAAATGATGAATACACACCTCATGTGAGGATGTGTCACCAGAGCTTTATGAGTTGGCATTTGAACTTTCTGATGGCATATTCTCTTGTGAGGAAAAAGTAAAGAGATGATGAAGTTTATCGATTGAACTACCTGATTTATACCATCTATTGCAGTTAACAGATACGCTTAATTAACATATTCCTTTGTCTAACACAGGTCAAGGTCGAACTAAATTCATGAAATCTCAATGCTAAAATATTGTTTAAGACTTTTTGTGGAATTTCAAGATGGCACTTGCATGGCGTTTAAGATTCACGTACACCCTTCAACAGTAAGCATTAGGCAAGGTGATTGGACATGTGCCAACATGTGATGTGGGAGACAACAGAATCAGCAGAATCTTTGTTTCTTTTTCTCAAGGGAAAAAAAGGGGACCATTCTCTGTATATAGTTATATCCCTTTATCTTGTTTTTGAGTGATTGACTCATCATTGAAGAAATTGATATCATCAGCAACTAAAAGCATTGTGCCCATACTCTCACGTGGTTTGAGACCAAACTAAATCTCAGACAGTCATTTACGAAGCCATCAGCTTTTCTTGTTGGGTCAGGTGCATATATCATAAAGTGAGCTTGCTGACAGGGATGTGATTATGGTTAGGGATAAATAATGTAAAAGAACATAACAAAGGAACGTGGAATTGTTTATGACAGAAATGGAAAGTAATCTGCAGCCGCATGTTGGCTTTGAAAGTCATGTGCTTAGGAACAGTAAGGAAATAGAGAAGAATGTTCGACATACTTCAAAGCTTTGTGGAAAAGCGAATGGCCAAAACCATCTTCTTCAACTGCTTCTATTACACTTGCTAAAGAGGAATTAAAGTTTTGTGCTTTGAAATTTGGAAGGAATGATCAAATTCAATGAATTGATATATACATATATTATCTTTGCATCATTATCTAGTACTTTCCAGTTTCAGTTGCTGGCGTTGTCAAATGGGTACCTACAAATGGTTTACATGTATAAGAAATTGCAGAGAATCGACCATGTTCTAGAGCTTACTTTCTTTTGCTTGAGAAAAATTGACTCCACTGAAAATTGCACAAAAGGATTGATAATTGTCCTTTTTCTTGAGAGTTCGATTGTAGTATTCTTTAAGTTTAAGGAGTTTTACGTCTTCTATGCATTACGTCTTTAAGTTCAAATTTGACTTATGAACTGGATTAAAACAATACAAACTCTAATGCAACTTTGTAAAGAGGTTCTGAAAATATTTACACTATCAATTTAGAAATGATTGAACAAAAAATGTTCTAAAGTTGATCCTTAACTAGTTAGCATTAAAAGCCAGTCATGCGGCTTGTCTTCTACAATAGAGAAGCACCAAAGATGAACTTTTGTATTCCTAACTTGAGTCAATAATATGCTAGCAACCAATTCTACAATTCAAATGGCACCTTCATTTGCTGTCACAGACTAATTTGATGCATCCAACACAGTGGATAAAACGATGAAGTTGGTTTTATCAAAGACAAAGTCCAATATCTTCAATAGTAACTGTCATTTATCATGTTTTTTAGCAGCTCTGGTATATCAACATGAAGCTTCAACCTCAAACAGTGGTTGTTACCACTCAACCAAGAAGAATGTCTGCTGAAGATATTTCAAAGTTTTTGGATATTTCAGGATACCTATAAACCAAAAGTCAAAATTTTCAGGCCTTGGTTCATACTCTTGATAAAATATATTGGACAGATAACACTTGGAAGCTTTCAATAGCCTCTCTCTCCATCTCACTGAAAAAGTGCTTAAACACTCTCTCCAGTATGCCCTCTTGAAAATTATGAGCCGCTAAGCTTAACATGTTTGCCCCAGTCTCACTGCAATTTCAGTGTTAGATAAACCCTAAACTCTAAACCCTAAACACCCTCATCAAGTAAAGCCAGTTCAACAGATAAACTGAAGGAAGGAGAAAAATACTTACACTCTCAAAAAACCACAGTCCTTGAATGAAAATCAGGCACAGTTTTCATAAATCCTTCACATGGAAAGATGTTTTTGGACTCCTTGTGAAAGACTATGTCCCTTATAGTATTGAAAATTAGATCTTGATAAGGAAATGAAAAGAAATTTTTACTTTGCATTGAAATTGTGGTTGAGTAGTTACATTGGTAAAAAGAGGTCCTGACAGGATAACCTGAACGACAGCTAGTTAAGATAATATTCTGGACTGTTTGGTTGCTTTTTCCTCTTAAAAAAAAATACCAGTGTCCAGACAAATGTTTTTATATCTTCGGAAGCATGATTCCACAGTGACAGATGGAAGCAAACAATTCTTGTATATTAATATATTGCAAAATTGTCACCCAAACCAAGGAAGAGCCATATTGTTTTGGAAATTAAACCAGAAAATAAATACAAGTTGAATCTTAGTGCTTTTTTCTGGATTTAGAGAATAATAACATGTAATATCATGTCATAAAGTGAGCTTGCTGAGATGTCACGTGGTGACAGTGGTAAAGATGAGTGTTTAATATAATTAATGATTTGTGGAAAAGAAGATTGGCAAATTCTTCATCACTGTGGTAGTTGTACAGTTTCATGGGGATATCAAAGAACAGTTTGCAGTTATAAGTTAACTTTATGAAAGATACTTTATACCCTTCGTTACATCATTCACTTAAAGTAACTTTAATATTAAAGAAATCCTGTGTCACCAGGTTAAAGATTGTCACAATTCATCAAACAAGATACATTGTAATAAGAGGCACGAAAGTAAGCCAAGCTAATTTAATAAAATCTAATTTTGAATAAACTAACGAACTCAACAAATTAAGCTTTCAAATCAACCTTAAAAAATGGACTTAGGAAATTCAATTAGATATGCTTCAAATGAACCAAAAATATAATTCTTTTAGTCAAACTAACTCCAACAGCTTCTACCAACTAATAAGCAACCCACGGAAAATATAATAATCTTAAAATTTTAAATAATAAAAGAACTTAACAAATTATTACTTTTGAACAAATCAATAACTAAATAAACAATTACATAGAAACAAGGGTAATAAAAGAACCTAACAAATTTATTATTTTTTAATCAATCAATAATTAATTAAACAATTACATAAAAAAGGCCTATCATCTGCTTTCAATAATCTTAAACTAAAATTGCAGGACTTTACCCCAAAGGGAGTCCTTCCAGAAATTCTCGAAAGCCTAGGCTGAACCCAGGCCTAAGAGGGGGTTTGGAAATAGTTTTCAACCAGCAATAGACGCGCCTCGGTTAGAACCTCACTAGCTGCGTCATTGCCCCAAGCGCAAAGATGCTTTACTAAGACAAATGCAAACTCCTTTTAATGTAGTTTCTGTCAGTTTCAATTTTTGTCTTAATCCATGTGGGACTTGAGCCATTGCTAACTTCAAGTCTGTAGAATCACTTGAAGATACGTTTGATGATTAATGATGTTTCTTTCTTATCAAAGGGAATGGCAGAAGCTGATGAAGATGAGAAAAACAGCACAATCTCTTGCTTTTTTCCTCAATATGATTCACTTATTTTCAAATGATTAATTGCATATTCTGCAATTGTATATTCTGCAACATTAAAACTTTTTTAAAATTTTGTTTTAGATGATTCAACCCATTGAATTCACCCATTATAGATGGGCTGGGCTAAATTTACAATTTATAAGCTCATCCAATAGGATTGTTTCTTCATCTACTTTGCTTTTTTCTTCATACACCTCAATACAATATATAAATCCAAAATTATTTCTCATTAAAATTACAATATAAAGTTAAAAATTACCTCTGCACCTTATTTTTTAATACATTCAGAATATATGTTTTGAAATATATTTAAAAAATACATTCTCCAATGTATATTCCAAAATATATTCTAAAATATATATATATATATATATATATATATATATATATTTGAGGAGGGACTAAAACCAAACGCTTGATATTCAGGACTAAAAACATATTTAATCCCATATTCTTATATACTAAAACCTTTCACATGTTGACTTCAATTATATAAATTCAAAGAGTTTTTTTTTCCTTTAGTTGTCAACGTCTATTCAAACACAGAATTCTATATCATATATTTAATTTAAATTTAAACATAACTTAACTTTACAAAATCCATTTATAATAAAATTTATATTTACATATATAATTTAAATTAATTTTATTTTTAATTAATGTAAAACTTCTAACATATTCCTTCATGATGAGTATATATATCTGAAAAGGTTTGAGAGAATACCTGAAAGGTCAAGCTATGACCGAACGTTTGAACGTTGAGGTCAAATGGCCGAACAGTCGAGGCCGAATGGCCGAATCGTTGATGCCAAATTTGGCTAAGTATCTGTGAGACCAGGTTTAAGAGAATACCTAAAAGGTCAAGCTATGGCCGAACGGTTGAACGTTGAGGCCGAATGGCCGAATCGTTGATGCCAAATTTGGCTAAGTACTTGTGAGGCCAGGTTTGAGAGAATACCTGAAAGGTCAAGCTATGACCGAACGGTTGAACGTTGAGGCTGAATGGTCGAGTGGTCGAGGCCGAATGGCCGAACGGTCGAGGTCGGATGGCCGAATCATTGATGTCAAATTTGGCTAAGTACCTGCAAGGCTAGGTTTCAGAGAATACCTAAAAGGTCAAGCTATGACCAAACGATTGAACACTGAGGCCGAATGGTCGAGTGGTCGAGGTCGATGGCCAAATCGTTGATGCCAAATTTGGCTAAGTACTACGAGGCCAGGTTTGAGAGAATACCTAAAGGTCAAGCTATGACCGAACGGTTGAACATTGAGGCCGAATGGCCGAGTGGTCGAGGCCGAATGGGCCGAATCGTTGATGCCAAATTTGGCTAAGTGGTCGGGTGGACGAGGCCGAGTGGCCAAGTAGCGAGACCAAGCGCCGAGACCGAAAGGTTGAGTTGACGTTCTTTTGAGGCACCACTCACGGGTTCCTTGTGGTTACAATGGGGAATACTAACTCGGCCCCACGGTGGGCGCCAAAATGTTTCTGTGGTTTAGAGGTCCCTTAAACATTCCAAGTTGTCTCGAAGACCGGAAGAACCTTGAAGACTGGACGGATTCGTTGAAGGCCGGACAGTTGAAGACTGGACAAACTCGTTGAAGGTCGGACGGTTACCTGTTGAAGGCCGGACGGTTAATACTCCAAGTTGTTCGTTCTCCCTCCTCCTTCTCTAAGCCGGGCGAGCGAGTACCTGTCAAAGGCTCTGACGCTCAAGTTAGTAAAAGTGAGTGAACGGCCATCACTATAAGTGATGCATGTGGTGTGCATAATGTTTCAACTGTCTGAAGTCACACTTGAGACCTTATTTATACTAGTTGTAATGGGTTTTACCTTTCGTGGGCCTGATGACGCCCAACCACGCCTTAACCTCCATTAGGGGCTTTAATGAGCTATTATCGTTTATGATCTAACCATGCGGTCGGCCGGTGTGATGGATGGTAGGCTTGGGTTGTCGATTTGATGGGCGACCTGGATGCTCGACCTGGGAAGAGTCGTTCGGCCTGAGCGTTCGGTCGGCCCTTGGTGGTCGACCTGGTGGCTGTTCGTCCTAAGAGAACCGTTCGATTCCTAAAAGCTGGGAGAACCAGTGTGTCTATATATATATATATATTATATATATAGATATATATTATATATATCTATATATATATATCTATATATTATCTATATATATATATATATATCTTATATATATAATATATATTATATATATATATATATATATATATATATATATATATATATATATTAAATTAGCCTTAATAGACGTGGGTGTTCCAACTTACTTCTTTGTTAAGATTGAAAAAGAAGAAGAAACATATTATAATTGTAATGTGGGGGTTTCAACGTTTATGAAAGATGTTTCGGTTGAATTGGTCTGAGGGTCGGCCGTCCTTCCTTGCTCTGCTCTCTTTTGATTTTCAATCCTCTCCGAGAACGCAATCCACTCTGATGAGTTATTGACCTACAGAAAACACTCAAACGCTCAAGTCAAGTATGTTTTATAAAGAGGTTTATATTTTATTAGGATAGAAGATGATCTATTTACCTGGACATCAATCGTATATTTTAGGGCTTGTGGGACAAACTCATTGATTAACCATTAGTGCAATATAATTTTAGACAATCAAACCCAATAATCAATAATCAATACTGTATATTTGTAAAACATAAAACAATCTGACTTATTAATACTTGTTAATTGTCTATAAATGACAATTAATTCTGATTGGTATACTTCATATATTACAATTATTATGTACATAAAAGGATTAAATGTTATAATGTTTATTAAAATTGTTAATTTTAATAAAAATTTAGTATAATATTATATAAAAATAAATTTGGCCTTAATTTGAAAAAAATAAAATTATTATATTTTGAAAAAACAATAAGATTGGATTGAACAAATTAATGAAATTGAATTGAATTAAACAAAATTAACGAAAATCGTAAGTAAATGAAATATCAGACAGTACTTAGAATGACTTGACTTATAATGACCTGAGAGATTGATTAATGGAGGGAACTGGAAATTGGCGGCAATTAACATCATGACATTGCATTAAATATCCATTTCGCTTAACTTCGAAAAGCTCCCACTTACACGAGAAATTACCCGTGAAGATGAATGCTCGGTTGAAGCTAGGAATAAAAAGGTGTTATGAGTAGTTAAAAAAACAATGAAATCATATTAATTACAATATATTCTTAAAATTTTTAATTCTTAAATTTTTAATTTCAAACTATAACTGGATTAGTATAATTTCTGTGCCTTTCCCGCCTGCTAGGAAATTACAGCTGAGTTATCACTGAATCTGTTCACTACAGTACTCTGATAATGTATTTCAATTGACATTTTAGGAATCTGAAGTTAGGGAAGCGCGAAAACTGAGATCAAGTCATGAGAACACTGACCTTTTGAAGGAGAAATTATTGGAGGAAAAGAGTCACCGGGAATGGGCAGAATCAGAGCTATCCAAGTTACAGGATATCCAGTTAAACATGAAAAAGTTAAAGGATCAAATATCATCGTGGAGAATGATGATTACATACAGACACATATATAACAATAAGTCACATTATCACGAGTACACACAACACAATGGGGGCTGCTAACTAACTTAGATCTGGTAATAAACCCAATCCTTTTGTATATAAATAAAGGAAAATGATACTTGAACAACCATTTTTGACAACATTTAGACACGCGCACCACGTGTCAAAATCTGAGTGGTCCAGTGGAAAATAAATGAAAATGGACCACTCAGATTTTGACCACGTGTGCGCGTGTCTAAATGTTGTCAAAAATGATTGTTCAAGTGTCATTTTCCTAAATAAAATCATACAACAATCAACGGGGAGTTGATAACCCAGTTTAGACCAGTTATAAACCCTACCCTTATTGTTACTTAATCAAAATGGTAATCATTGTTACTTAACCGGTTCTTGCCCATTTAATTTTCCGGTTTCAGCTTATATAAGACTTCATTCACACGGTTCTCTATAGTTTTTTCCATTTTCGGTACTATAGTGCCTCATTTGAGTAAATAGTTTTTTCCATTTTCGGTACTATAGTGCCTCATTTGAGCTAATGATTTCTTCCTAACCTTTATTTTGGCTTAGCATAACAGCATATGTTACTGGCATCACGCAGAAAATAAGCTCAGAAGCCATTATTGTGATGGAAGATGAGAAGTTGTGATTACAATTGAAACAATTCGCTAAACAGTTTTTGTTTTCATACATGACTTAATTATTGTGCATACTTGTTAAATGTTATGATATTTTTTTATAATTTATAACCATTATAAATGATAAGAGTTTTGGACAATGATGAGACTTGTACAATACACCACACTTCTCAGTTTATTTTTAGCACAATAATATTGTTGATTATGCTATCAATTAATTATGAATTATGCTTGTCCCATGATATGTAACAATGTGAGGTCTATACAAAAGAGCAAGCATGGAGTTACCTTGAATTGGTCAGCTTGGACAGATGTAAAATATCCAGTTTTGTTACCATATTTTACATCATGTTTCCCTCGTAACTTTGTGGAGTTGGTCTTCTTTAAGTAGATATACAAATTCCTCAGTTTCTCCTTTTGCAGTTTTACTTTGTTTTGCATTAGATACACAAACATAATAATTATTCTTATGTATTTATTAATGACGTGCACTGACCAGGTAAATCCTGACATGTATCCAACAATTCAGCTGAAAAGGTTTCATCTTTTCCGTCTCTTTTTTCGTGAGAGTGATTTTTTATACATTAGAATGCTTTAATAAAATAATTTATTAATCTCACATTTTGTCTTTGATTTTGTTGTTGGCATTTGATCTTTTTTTACAGGGAGAATAGCATTTTCATTACTAGGAGATGTATTTCTTGCACATATACCAGTAACGATTTCCTTCAATCTTAAATGTCTTATAGTGGTTTCTTTGGGACATTTGATTTCATTCTATTCATTTTAACTCATGTAATTTTGACTTAGTTTGTGTTTCGTTTGTTTCATTACTTCTTATTTTGTTGTCAATAGATGAACGAAGATAATTTTCATCTAAAACGATACATGCGCTCTTATGATAAGACGCCTATGGATGTAATTTAAAAAAAAAAAAAGAACCTACTGACAAGATTGTGTCTACTTCTCTCTTGCTTTCTTATTATTATTTTCTTTATAAATAACGAGTTTATTATTATTAATATAGAAGAAAAAAATAAAAATGTGAGAGTTTAATAAACTCTTATGAACTAATAAAAAAAAAAGTAAGATAATGTAAAATATTCAACAAAGATACGTTGATCTAAGAAACACACTCGTGGGTATGAAACTACATTGTCTTCATTAATTAAAACTGAAGCAAATACAGCGTATATATTGACGGGAGAATGAGTTGTCCTTTACTACAGAGTACGAAAAAACATAACTAAATCAAACACTAACTGATAATAATTGACATCCCTAACATATGACTTGTCATTAGTTTTTTATNAACTTTGATGGTTTTTAGTCCTTATTGTTTTGAAACTCTGAGTAATAGTCCTTAAAATTGGACGGTGTTAAGTTTCAGTGGAGGTGGCAAACGGCGTTGCCACGTGATCACTGATATGCTCTATTCTCTGTCTGCCACGTTGGATGTTTAAGTGTTTGGACTGAGATTAAGTTAGTTAACCACTTCGTAATCTTTTATAAATCAGATCTGAAGAAAGTGGGTTCTTCTGGTGGCTGTCCCTTAGCGATGGCCAAAACGTTGATATTCGTCTACATAGTTGTCGCGGCAGTGCTGCTCTTGTTCCTCTCTCATTCACCGAAGAAGTTCTCCGGCCACCGCCGCCGCCGCCTCAAGCTCCGCTCCAACTTCACCCTAGCACCGTCGCGCCACCACGCCGTGGCCTTCGACCCCTTGGTGGCGGAGCTGGAGCGGCACCGGGAGGACAAGGAGTGGGAGAAGCAGGTAATCCACCAGATTGATACTCTTGTTCCCCAAGATCGACGTGGACCCCGCCGATTGGTTCGTCACCGAGCACGAGTTGACTCAGTGGAACCTCCACCAGGCACAGCGCGAGGTCCTGCATCGCACCCAGAGGGAGATGGAGCTTCACGATAAGAATCACGATGGCTTTGTTTCGTTCTCCGAGTACGATCCTCCCAGTTGGGCTCAAAATGCAGGCCTGTCCCCTTTTCCAGCCTTTAGATCCGAGTAACACTACTATAATCGACTAATGTAGTTGCGTGCTATGGATTTGAACTTGAGATCGCCGTGCGTTTAGATACCGATGATTAATCATTGTGACTGTCTATTGAATGTTGTGTTTTTTTATTTTTACCAGATAACGAGTCTTTCGGTTATGATATCGGTTGGTGGAAAGAAGAGCATTTTAATGCATCTGATGCTGACAGAGATGGTGTTCTAAACTTGACCGAATTCAATGAGTGAGGCCTCTACTACTTGCTAGGAAGCTTGTTTGTTTTAAACCCATGATGATCCGTTCCACTTTTCCTTATTTTTGCTTTTTGGTTTTCCTAGCTTTCTGCACCCGGCGGACAGCAAAAACCCTAAGCTTCATCAGTGGTTGTGCAAGGAGGAAGTCAGGTAACTCAAATATCAGAAAGAGTCTATATGAAGGCTCAATATATCAGTCTTGAAATTGCAGGGTTATCAGTTATATCTTAGGTATAGAGAGAGAATAGAAACTTTGGGTAATATTTTTGTGTTGTGAATTCGTGATGTGTTAACAATAATTATTTACACTAATACTAGATCGTAATCCTAACTAAAGAAAGAAATCATGGGATGATAAAGAAACTTGTAAACCAATCCTCTAAAATTTACTAGATCATTCTAATGCACAATCAAGATGATGTGTGCTGAATATTGTTCTAATTCTCCTTGTCAAGATTTAGTTCATTATGCTATAAAAATCCCCCTTCAAGGAAAAGAGAATATGTAAGTTGCGCTCCACCAAACGAAAAGGCAAATGAAGGATGCTTGAGATATTGGAGTGTTGCACTACCAAGGAAGGAAGGAATTCATCACCACATGTCTTATCAGTGGAATACGAGAAATCACCATCAACGAGGATAACAATAGGGGCTCATATGAATCACAGTCAAAACCTTACTAGCTTATTATTGTATGTCTCGTTGGAGAAAATAAGTCACCGAAATAAATGTCAATGGAAAAAGGAACACCATGACCACATTGGTTGGAGACAAGCAAAGGCATTCTGGATAGAAGACAGGTGGGGGCTAGGTCGCTTTTGGAACAAAAACTCAGTGTTATTGATAGTGTATAGTGGAAAGCCAAAAGTTTTCTACATCATATATCAAATAATTTCAGGAAAAAAAAGAAGTGGAAGTCATATAGGAGTTGAAATAAATCAATTAACAGAGTATAAAAAAAATAAGTTGCATGCGAATGAAACGTTGCACAATAGTTAGTATAATACTGAATCAAAAGTCAATTGTTCATGGAAACATTAAAAAGAAGTTAAATGTTAAGATAAAATATCTGTTCATTTTACTTTGCCTGTTCCTCTTCCTCTTCCTCTTCCTCCGAATAATCATCATTCTTATTGCCCGTTCCTTCTATTTCTTCTCCTTCTTAGTCCTCAAAATCTATAATGAGGTTGCAACATCTTCAACTTCAGTTGCTAACCCATTGAAGACTACTCTATTTTCCAGAGGTGATAGAAGGATGCAGGAGGTGAAAAACATTAATCGAGGAGTATAGAAGTCCTTCCTTGCATGAAGAATGTTTCCGTTTGGAGAGGTTGAAGACTTCCTATGTAAGTGGGACATTATTGGTACTGGGGAAAAAGCCACGGGTAGTCCCATATCTAAACCATGACCCCACTTCTCAGTCTCAAAACCATCACTTCTGCATTAGCATGATTTTTTGGGGAAGTTGCACAATGGTGGAGTTACAATAGCGGATTGTAGGATTTTTGCAATGCTATTGTGAGGATCACTATAATGGCTATTTAACAACAGTACAAAAGTTGGAGCCAAATTGCTCTTAGGACAAAAACTGGCAGGGCTAGACCACATCTAGGACCAAAGGCAGGATCTGTGTCTGGCACTTGATACCATGCTAGCTAGCTATGTAAATTGTAAACGAGTCAAACAGTAACCAAAAATAATAAGGCCAAAATAGCATTAAAAAGGTGGTGAACAAAGGTGAAAAAGGGCTAGACATAGTAAGAGAAGGTGATAAACAACGACATTCCAATTTACAGACCTAAATTGACGCCTCCAAATAGAGGTTCAAACTCCAAATATCACAGATCTAAAAGAGAACAGTGAGACAAGCATGGCACATGAATAATTGACAAGAAAGTCTTTCGGATGCAGCATCATGCGCAATAGATGACAGCTGTCCCTGGGGATGACCTAAGTGCAGGAAAACAGCATTTGGAAGTGTATGGCTGCTTTGAATGTTATTGGTGGTTTGGTTGCTAACTACCAATCTTGAGATGACATCTCAGTAAGGTTGCCAGGCTTTACAGATGGTGTATAGGTACTGAAGGAGAAAGCTGATAGAGTAGAGAATTTGAATATTTTTCTTGCGTATAGTGACATGTAATGTGATGCAAAGTGTAAATTACCAACCCTTTATTTTTACGTATCATTACAAAAAAAAAGTATAACGAGATAATAATGAAATACAGAAAGCATTCCTAGGAGATAATAAGAAAAGAGTGAATAGTATGCATTTATTGACAATGTGAATGGTTTTTGCACTATCAACAATTAGACATTGTCTTTTATTGTATTTTGGCTGACTTTTATTATAACTAAAGTTATCCTAAACATAATTTCTAATAGGTTGGCAATGTAAACTTTTATACTAGCAGTGGATTAAAATTAATTTTATAAGAAAATATAGAAACTAATTAGTTAAGATAATATAATCAAGATACTAATGAATATCTTCTTCGTATATTTTAACAATCAGTTTTTTCATACTATATGATTGTGTTAGTAATACTGCATATTATAGATTTATTTACTTAATCATTAAGCATTTGACAGTTAAGATAATCTGATAAAAAAAATTATTAATATAACTGTATATTTATTCTTATAATAATTGCATTTGACATAAGAATGACCAAGATATTACGACAGTAGATAACTATAAGCTATTTCAGTCTCAAGCGACCACACATGGGACTGATAAACACGGCTTAGAATTAAACAAGGACCTTAAGTCTTTCATTCCTTCAAAATCTTCAATAGGGAAACATTCCTATAGGAGAAAGATTTATGTACCCAAATGAGAAATTCCCAGTCTCTTGTCAAACCACAGGGAAACAAAACTGAGGACCAGAGATTGAAAATTGGATTCTAGCACCAACCTGTAAACAAACAAAATAAAAATGAAAGAATTGATTTTGGTTTTGGATCTTTTGCTTCTTCTTTTTTTTTTTTTTTTTATCAAAGCAGACTAAGAATCTATCACATATGTCTTAGATGAAGACTGAATATTTTGATGAATTGCTTAAATGAAAAAAACCCTGCAGGATATATATTTATACACATTGAAGATAAGTAAATAGAATTCTCTAATTGATACATGGACACTTGTTCTTTTTAACCATAAATTTTTGCATGTCTGGGTATCGTATGCAGCTTTCTACCTATGAAGGGTGAGACTGACAGTGTTTAGTCTTTAGATAATTTTCTTTTCTTTCTTTTTTTCCAAAATATTGGATTATACACATATATTTCCACTATGTACATGCTTGCTGTTGACAGAAGATATCTTATGGTATTCTGGTCTAAAACAATATTTTGTGATACATATCTTAGTTGTGTTATCTACGTATGTATCCTTTATTGTTTATGTCTCTAGGCTTTTGATTGTATAAGTTGTCTTTAGACTTTCAATAACTCCATATTCTTAACCTTAAACAAGTAAATTTGGATTTTGTGTTCCTGATAAAAAGGAATATGATATGTGACTTTCAATAATTCCATCTTTAGTTTATATGCAATAAGCTGATTTATATGATTGTCTTGGCTTACTATTGTTTAATTTACCCATTTCTTTTTTTACAGGGAAAGAGATACAGACAGAGATGGAAAGGTCAACTTTAAAGAATTTTTCCATGGGTTGTTTGATTTGGTGAGAAACTATGATGATGAAAGTCATAATTACTCGAATCATTCTGATAATTCAATGGATGCTCCAGCCAGAGTGTTATTTGGTCAGCTTGACAAGGATGGGGACGGGTATTCACCTTTGTATTACAATCATTAGTCTACTTTCTTTGATTTGTTGTAATAGTCTCCTAACTGTATACTATCTTTTTATTTTGGGTTATCATCTCAATCTTTGCAGATACTTGTCAGATGCTGAACTACTGCCCATAATTGAGAAACTCCATCCATCTGAGCATTATTATGCAAAGCAACAAGCCGATTACATCATTTCACAGGTACTCCATTTTACTTTACAGTAATTACAGGCTTCTTGTTGGCTAAGGTGCTTATTCTTTCTTTTAAAGTCATCCGATCATGCAAAAGACTATTTATTCAATTGATATTGGCTTAACATGGATTACATACTAATAGGAACTGAGATATTTGGGGGAGTCCAAGTCCCATATCAAGTAGTATGGGATGCTTGGTGGAGTATCTAAGTGTTTGATTATCCTTGTTAATAGCTGGCTTTAGAAGGTTGGTTCCTCTAGTGCTTGTTGTGTACCTATCAATTGGTTTCAGAGTTATTTTGAACAGAGGTTCTGTTGAGTACTACTCTTGTGTTTGTTTCTCCCCTCTCAATACACCTTTTTTGAAGATGGATCCCCCCATTAGTTTGAGTACTTATCACATACATTCCTTTTTATGAGTAAATGGTTCTGTTAAGTAGTACTCAAGTGTTTGTTCCTCCCCTCTTATTACCCCTTTTTTGAAGATGGATTCCCCCATTTGTTTGGGTACTTATACATACATTCGTTTTTATGAGTAAATGGCTTTTTGCTTTGATAGAAACCNTCATGTTTTTTAGCAGCTCTGGTATATCAACATGAAGCTTCAACCTCAAACAGTGGTTGTTACCACTCAACCAAGAAGAATGTCTGCTGAAGATATTTCAAAGTTTTTGGATATTTCAGGATACCTATAAACCAAAAGTCAAAATTTTCAGGCCTTGGTTCATACTCTTGATAAAATATATTGGACAGATAACACTTGGAAGCTTTCAATAGCCTCTCTCTCCATCTCATTGAAAAAATGCTTAAACACTCTCTCCAGTATGCCCTCTTGAAAATTATGAGCCGCTAAGCTTAACATGTTTGCCCCAGTCTCACTGCAATTTCAGTGTTAGTAAACCCTAAAACCTAAACCCTAAACACACTCATCAAGTAAAACCAGTTCAACAGATAAACTGAAGGAAGGAGAAAAATACTTACACTCTCAAAAAACCACAGTCCTTGAATGAAAATCAGGCACAGTTTTCATAAATCCTTCACATGGAAAGATGTTTTTGGACTCCTTGTGAAAGACTATGTCCCTTATAGTATTGAAAATTAGATCTTGATAAGGAAATGAAAAGAAATTTTTACTTTGCATTGAAATTGTGGTTGAGTAGTTACATTGGTAAAAAGAGGTCCTGACAGGATAACCTGAACGACAGCTAGTTAAGATAATATTCTGGACTGTTTGGTTGCTTTTTCCTCTTAAAAAAAAATACCAGTGTCCAGACAAATGTTTTTATATCTTCGGAAGCATGATTCCACAGTGACAGATGGAAGCAAACAATTCTTGTATATTAATATATTGCAAAATTGTCACCCAAACCAAGGAAGAGCCATATTGTTTTGGAAATTAAACCAGAAAATAAATACAAGTTGAATCTTAGTGCTTTTTTCTGGATTTAGAGAATAATAACATGTAATATCATGTCATAAAGTGAGCTTGCTGAGATGTCACGTGGTGACAGTGGTAAAGATGAGTGTTTAATATAATTAATGATTTGTGGAAAAGAAGATTGGCAAATTCTTCATCACTGTGGTAGTTGTACAGTTTCATGGGGATATCAAAGAACAGTTTGCAGTTATAAGTTAACTTTATGAAAGATACTTTATACCCTTCGTTACATCATTCACTTAAAGTAACTTTAATATTAAAGAAATCCTGTGTCACCAGGTTAAAGATTGTCACAATTCATCAAACAAGATACATTGTAATAAGAGGCACGAAAGTAAGCCAAGCTAATTTAATAAAATCTAATTTTGAATAAACTAACGAACTCAACAAATTAAGCTTTCAAATCAACCTTAAAAAATGGACTTAGGAAATTCAATTAGATATGCTTCAAATGAACCAAAAATATAATTCTTTTAGTCAAACTAACTCCAACAGCTTCTACCAACTAATAAGCAACCCACGGAAAATATAATAATCTTAAAATTTTAAATAATAAAAGAACTTAACAAATTATTACTTTTGAACAAATCAATAACTAAATAAACAATTACATAGAAACAAGGGTAATAAAAGAACCTAACAAATTTATTATTTTTTAATCAATCAATAATTAATTAAACAATTACATAAAAAAGGCCTATCATCTGCTTTCAATAATCTTAAACTAAAATTGCAGGACTTTACCCCAAAGGGAGTCCTTCCAGAAATTCTCGAAAGCCTAGGCTGAACCCAGGCCTAAGAGGGGGTTTGGAAATAGTTTTCAACCAGCAATAGACGCGCCTCGGTTAGAACCTCACTAGCTGCGTCATTGCCCCAAGCGCAAAGATGCTTTACTAAGACAAATGCAAACTCCTTTTAATGTAGTTTCTGTCAGTTTCAATTTTTGTCTTAATCCATGTGGGACTTGAGCCATTGCTAACTTCAAGTCTGTAGAATCACTTGAAGATACGTTTGATGATTAATGATGTTTCTTTCTTATCAAAGGGAATGGCAGAAGCTGATGAAGATGAGAAAAACAGCACAATCTCTTGCTTTTTTCCTCAATATGATTCACTTATTTTCAAATGATTAATTGCATATTCTGCAATTGTATATTCTGCAACATTAAAACTTTTTTAAAATTTTGTTTTAGATGATTCAACCCATTGAATTCACCCATTATAGATGGGCTGGGCTAAATTTACAATTTATAAGCTCATCCAATAGGATTGTTTCTTCATCTACTTTGCTTTTTTCTTCATACACCTCAATACAATATATAAATCCAAAATTATTTCTCATTAAAATTACAATATAAAGTTAAAANATTGTCACTGTTTTTCACTCTCCACATATGAACAATCTCTCTTCCTTTCTTTTCATTTTCTCACTCACTCTCTTTCACACCATCATAAAATATTCTACCGAGCTACAATTACGAATGTGTAGATACCAGCAATTGTCAACTTCAGAATTAACATTAGCATTAAACCTGCTATGATGTGTCAGAATTAAAAACCACACACGCAGGTCTAAATAATTCTATCTGACAATAAACAAGTCATGCAAAAGATAACAAGTGGTGCTACATATTGTCGATGCTACGTAACCAAAGACAAAATACCCTTTATTATATATCTATGCTTCTGGTTACTTCATGAACAAACAGTTGTGTTGAGGCTGGTTTTCTCCACATATTCTCTTAACCACTCTTCCTTCCTTGTCACCTTCTGCATGCTTAAACGTTAACATAGCCATTTTTCTGTTAAGGGGTTGAGGTTTGAAATTCAGAGTCCATGGAAGAAACGAATTACTATGCAAGCAACAGAAGTATGAGAAGTGATTGGATTTGGAAGTATGTGAAGAGTGTTGGTGAGAGAGTGAGAAGATTTACAGGTTTGGCATGGAGAACAGCAGTGAAAGTAGGGAAAGAGGATCCAAGAAGGGTGATCCATTCCTTGAAAGTGGGGTTGGCTTTGACACTCGTTTCTTTGCTGTATCTCATAAAGCCTTTGTTCGAAGGGATTGGACAAAATGCCATGTCAGCTGTTCTTACTGTGGTTGTCGTCATGGAATTCACAGTAGGTAAGCCAAGCTACATTATCGTGTTTTTTTACATACTATTTGTAGAGAATATTTTAAACGTAAACTCAAATCACAACTTGATTAAAAGTATGATCAACCCATCTTGGTTATGATGTTTATAGATGGTATAATTCAATCTTTTTACGATGCAGGAGCAACATTAGGCAAAGGACTGAATAGAGGGTTGGGGACTCTTTTGGCAGGATCATTGGCATTTCTTGTGGAGTATTTTGCAGACATCCCTGGTCGGATTTTTCAAGCTGTTTTCATTGGTTCTGCAGTTTTTATTTTAGGTAAGAATGATCACTTATAACATTACTGAATCTATGCTTAGTTTTCGGCTCTCACCTACTAAATATAAAACTAATTTATGATATATAAGGAAATCCCTTTCATATTATCACATCCAATAATATTTCTAAATAATTTAAAATTCAAGGTTAAAAATATTTTTTTCTCTTTTTATCCACTCAAATACTTAAAAATTTTATATTATTTAAGAATCGAGACTAAAAATAATTTAAATATAATTTCGATCTATTATAACACTTTTAAGAATAAAATCAATTTTGTAAGATTGAAGATATATAATCAAGAGTAACATTTGAAATTTTAAGTTTGACTATGCAAAACTGCAACACTTGATTAATTTATTTAACTAAATCTAAATGAAAGCTTGAGTTTGATTTTCTTAAACTAAAACTGAGTTTAGTTTTATTAAAAAAAATCCTGATGTTTGATTTTAACAAACATCTATTGACCTCGTTAGATTTCACCACATGGTGTTCCCACTTCTTACTTTTCTTATATATATATATATAAAGGGTGCTGAATTGCTAATTTGTGAAAAATGTGAAATGTGAATTCTTAAAATATATATATCTTGCATCTTGCTAAAGTTTTTGCATTTTGAGGTAGTATTCCTTTTTCCTAAAATTTATTTACAAAAAAGACTGCTAGCACTGTGGGAAAAATATATAGTGTTTATTTATAATTCATTAGACATTAATCACAATCACAGATAAAAGTGAGCTTATTTTTTAAAAGTAATTATTTTACATTATCAATTGATAAAAAAAAAACCCCGCTGATACATCTTCTAAAATAGTTATTCTAAAGATAACCAAGTTTACTATATATGAAATTTTATTATTGAATAAATAATAAAAGACACTCTGATTTCAGCACAAATTATTTACACTTGATTAAGTATTTTTATTTTCAAAGTTTCTTATTATATTATCTTTTAGTTTTTTTTCTTCGACTTGCAACTTTATTTAGAGGTACAAATTATTACTACTTATGCCAACCAAATTTGGTTTTAAAAATAATAATTTACTAATATTCAAATTATAGAGTGACAAAATATCACAAACTATTAAATATGTTTTTACATAAAAGAAGGGTAACTTTATATATAGATAGCTGTTTCTAGATGTTTTGATATAGTGACTAAACAAAAAAAAAGTTATGTTTACTTGAGAGATTGCATATAAACTTATAATTGCAGATCAAACCACAACATTTGAATTGTTTTATCTGCAGGAGTTGTAACTACTTATGTGAGGTTCATCCCCCATATCAAGAAGAACTATGACTATGGTGTTATGATATTTCTCTTGACTTTCAATTTGATAACTGTATCAAGTTACAGAGTTGATAATGTCTGGGCAATTGCAAAAGATCGTATAGCAACCATTGCCATTGGTGGTGGCCTCTGCCTTGTAATGAGCCTTTTGGTTTTCCCAAACTGGTCAGGGGAAGACCTCCATAACTCCACCATAGCAAAGCTCGAAGGCCTAGCCAACTCTGTTCAAGGTATTCTATACTATGTTAAACAAACACTCAAGATCTCGTATAAGGTGATTTTATAACATATAATTAGACGTAAATTTTAAATCGATTGTGTGAGATTGAATTAAATTTAAAATTTATTTTTTAATATAATATTATAATCATGATTTTATCTTAACGAGATTTATTATTTGTTATACTACATCTACATCGATGGTGTTAAATTTCGTGAGATGTAGTTAAAATTAAAGTTCAATTCTTAACAAAAAAAAAAAAATACTATATCATCGTATAGTTTTATTGTCTTATTCAATATATATAATATACATATATATCATTGATGGTCCAAATAATCACGCAGCTTGTGTTGGGAGATACTTTAATGATTCTGAAAATCAAGAAACTCAAGAAGATGCTTCTGATGATCTGATATACAAAGGTTACAAGGCTGTCTTAGATTCTAAATCTAAAGACGAAACACTGGTAACTCTTGTGACCTTTTTTTCCTGATAGTGAAGTTGAACATTTCCAAAATTACTGTTGTTTGTGGCAGCAGATCTTATAGGACTGTGAAATTAAACAGGCACTGCAAGCAAGTTGGGAGCCAAGATGGTCAACTTATTGGCACAGAATTCCATGGCGGCAATATAAAGTAGTGGGGGTTACTCTTCTCCATTTTAGTTACACTGTTGTTGCACTACATGGGTGTCTTATGTCTGAAATTCAGGTACTATATATCTCAATCAAATAATTCAGAAAACAGATATTACTCTAACAAAAGGTTACAGATGATACACATATAGGTACCAAAAGAGACTATTGTAGCTAGAAAAATGTGTTTCTACTTTCTACTTTTATGATTTTCTAGATATAGCAAATGACATAGTGATACAGAAACTACTGTATGGTCTAAAATCATAGTCTTACCAACTTAGGCAGTGTGTAATTATATTTTTCAGTTTCTGAAAAAGATTTAATAATGTCATAGAAATTAGCTATGACATGCAACAGTTTCTTGAGAGTTGGGTGTATCAGTAAACATGAAGAGGTCAACAACATGATTCTCTTGGCTAGCATGTTTGCAATAGTTGGTTGGATCAAATCCTGGTATAAAAGTGTTGTTATTGTTTTGTTATGTTTATGATTTATTAATACATGCCTTAATTATGAATTAAGACCCCAGGATCAATTCGAGCTCTATACAAAGACTCTTGCATCAGACTTGCAGAAGAAGTGTCTAAAGCACTGAGGTATCTAGCTAATAGCATAAGAAATAAGCGTCAATTCTCCCCTCAAGCACTGTCTGACAGTATCAATGAAGCTCTACAAAATCTGAACGATGAGTTGAAATCCCAACCACAACTATTTCTAGGCTCAAAGAATTTTGGTGGAAGCACACATGCTGAAGAAGACACTAGAGTGTCATTCTCAAGTGTTAGGAGTGATTGTTCTTCCATGTTTGAGTACAAATCCAGAGAACTTTCTGGTGAGATGTCAGTGGAGGGACACAAGAAGGTTTTGAAGCCACTGATGAGTAAGATTGTGATGACAAGCCTTGAGTTTTCAGAAGCACTGCCTTTTGCAGCTTTCACTTCTATGCTTGTGGAGATGGTGGCAAAGTTGGATCATGTTATAGATGCAGTTGATGACTTGGCCAAATTGTCACGCTTTAGAGAGTTCAGAGATGAAGATGAGATTGTTGTGAGTTGTGAGAAACCAAAGATAGTTCACAATGACTTTCCCTCTTATGCATTTGATTAACTAGGGAGTATTAATAAGGCATATGTGGGGAGAGCAGTAATGTAGTTTTAAGTCTTCTGATAGAAAACATGTAATAAAGAAATGAACAACTCTGTTAACAGATGTTTTAATTGCAAGATCAGAAAGATAACAGTGTGTCTGTTAAGAAATAATTGTTGAAATCACCCCTTATCCCTTTAGAAGTAAGAAAATTAAGAATTTATATGCAATATCTTCAAACACAAATTATAATTGATAAGGAAAAACTATGTGCAAAATTAGAGAAATATTAAGTGAAAAAATTACAATCTTTGATTAAATATAAAGAAAGAAAAATCACACACTCCCTTGTAAGTGAAGAAGAATACACATACCTCTGAAATGAGAGGTATTTAGAAAGGTTTTGAGTTGTATTCTTACTCAAAGGTTGAGTTTAAACATTAATATCATTGCAAAGCTTTTCATCATCCAATCAACTTATGATGATCATTCTAACCTGGTGTATCTAGACATTTTTTTATCAACTAGGGTTGTGACTTTGATAGAGGGATAAAGAAAATATTAGGAAATTTAACAAATTTTAAATGGTTCAAAGAAACTCTTAATATGGTGAAATTATCAGATAGTTTGAATTATTACTTATGTATAGCTTTGACTAATCTTTACATGATATACATTAAAAAAATTTAATCTACAAGAAAAATTGACAACACTTAATTATAAATCATGTTAAAATTAGTTAGAATTGTCATAACACTTCCACCTAATAATATTTTCTTAAAATAATATTAAAATCTCACAACTAATTCAAATTTTTCAATAAAAAATTTCAGCTAATACTCTACTGGATAAGGTATTTTCAGCTAATACCTTGACATCATAATTTTTATTAGAAAGAATTGCTAAATAAGATGAATTCTTATTCAGTTAAAGCCCTTCAATTCCACACTAGCATGCCTCATTAAGCTACAATCCAATAAATGTACAACCAAAGTGAGAACCAGGCAAATCAAAATGGACAAACTTTTAATTAAGGCGTTGATGCCAAGGTCCCATATCGTATAGATAAGATAAAAACCATTCTAGAGAATTATAGTTTGCAGAGTCTAAAGCAGGAGCCATCAAAAGTGATCATTTTCATTGGAATTAAGAAATCTATTTGTTAGACTTTTGGAAAATAAAATGGTTCCCAAATCTATTCACAACAGTAACAGCATGGAATTAAGTTAACATTTGGAAAAGTTCATGATCATATGAAGTGAATCATGAATTGACCCAAAAGTTAAATATCATACTCTAACCATGTATACCAGATCATGTTCTATGACTCTTTCACAGATATCCTCTTTGGCATTAAGGTTTACAGAAAAACAGATATCATGGATATTAAATCAGGCACGAAATACTGAAGACCAAATGAGTCACCAGCATGTGAACAAAGGCAGGGAAATTTTCATTGATCCTTTGCTTTCTTACGCGCCAGAAAGCGCTCTTTTGCAGCAGCCAGAGCATCCAGACTTCTTTTATGATGATCGGGCTTTGGTTGAGAAGCTGATGGCTGTTCAGCTGAACTCTTTGCTTCCGCAGAAGAAGCCTCAGGATTTGGTTTCGTGTCTAATGGATTAGAAGCCTCACCCTGTTCCCCAATCTTTTCTGCAGGAGACTCCACTAGTGAACTTGGGTTGTCCAATGAATGCTGCACTTCATCTGACCCATTACGTTGTTCATGGTCATTTGGTGCGTGGCTCTCTCCCTCATGGCTCTCTGCAACTCTTCTCTCAGCCTGCTTCTCACGTTTCCTCGCTTGGGCATCTTTTGCTCCATAAGCAACATTTTTGTCAAGGTTTGAATAAAAATCAAGCAAAAAATCCTTCTTCTTGGTAACCTATGCAAATATTAAAATACAAAAAATGTCAATAATAAGAACAGAGAGAGAGGAATAAGACCATAAAAGACCATGCCAGTTTAATTAAAGAAAAAATATATACACTAAAATGAGGGAGAAAAGAAAGGAAACACTAGAACATCTTAAATCCATTACGAATCTAGGTTGACAACAGAAAAGATACGAAAACATGGCAAAAAAACTATGTGAAATTTAAAAGACAGGAACTTACATCATCTCTTTCTTCTTGATGTTCACGCAAACGCTCTAGCTCCATTTGTCTCTCTCGTTCGGCAAGCTTCTTTCTATATGCTTCTGTAACAAATTTGTCTTTGTCAGCATAGATATGGTCGTCTTTGCTTCTCTCTTTGGCAATCTTTTTCTCATAAACAATCTCACGATGCTGCTCTCGCTCTTTTGCCTTTTTCATCAGATTTTCGATATATTTTGGCTACATCACAAAGATTACAGGTTGATGATGAGTAACGAAGTCATTTAGCAAATGACCCAAAATTAACAAATTTAAACACTAGCTCTCAAAAGTAAAAAAAGAAAGAAATTTAAACAAAAAATTAAAAAGGAATACTCACATAGCCTATTCGAAACCCAGAGCAACCCACACCAGACCATTTTCACTATTCAAACAGGGCCTTGACAATGAAATTTCCTAACCTTGAGAATGAGTTGTGTTGTGTTCATACATGTCAAACACCAATTCCCAGATTCACACTAACACCTTTATACGGTAATCTTGGAATTTTGAAAAATATTAAACCTTAAAATCTCACAATCTTAATTTTATATAAAGTTACTTAATCATGAAAATATGTTTCTATGCTACCCGATAATCTAATTATCTATCATCTGTATATAAGCCTCCTTACATCTAGCATTTTTCTGCGACATTGCATCGTCCACTATGTCCTGTGTCCTATGTAATGCGGACCACCCTACCCAAACAACGAAAGGGTACAATAAAGATGATTTGGCAATTTCTTTTATAAATAAAGATTACTTATTATATATTCAAGACAATCCAACAGCATAGCAAAATGACTTCAGTGGTATCTTAGCATAAAGACAATTTTAAAAATTTAAATAAATGAAAGGATATTTAAATCCAAAAACAAAAAGAAGTGAATGATGCATATCTTCATGCTGCTAATCACCTGAGTCATTAACCTAATTATTATGCAAATGCAAGGTGCCAGAGATTCTCAGTTCCTGACAATACGATTCTACATAGTTATAAACATAACAAAGTGGCGGTTTGACTGTAAGTAAGAGAAGATCACTAGAACTGCAAGCTACCTTTCTCTCTTCACGATCTTGGGTCAATGGACGAGTTTCCTTCGCTTTCATTTTGTCATAGACTCCATCATAATCAAATACGGATGGATCTTCCTCCAAGGCTTTCTTCTGCTGCTCCTCAACCTAAGAAAATGAAAGTAAGATAATAATACAAAGAAGCAAAATACAACAGGCCCGATTATGAACACTGAACGCAAATTATCAAACACCAAGGAAACTATCACAGAAAGATCAACTTACTTCCTTGAGACGTTTATTCTTGCTAGCCTGAAGAGCAATTTCCCTCTCGACGTCATTATCATCATCCTCATCAAATCCAAAAGGGGTGGCAAGGGAGGGCCTTGGTGCCTGTTTCTTTGCCTTAGGTGGCCTAAGGTTCAAACCATACTTGCTCATTTCACTCTCCAAACCCTAGAATTGTTTTTCACTACACAAATACACTGAATCTGCGTGTTTCTAGGTCACGATTTATGCAGAACACACCTGGGTAAAAATTTCGTGCTCCGCTGCTCCCCTCCTGCAACTTTCTGTTGTTTTGGGTGTAGATTTTGTGTTCTCCTTTCGACTCGCTGCTTTCTCTTGTCCGTTTCATAGATCCCACCACAAACTGGGTTGGGCCTTATCATGGTTTCTCTCTAGCAATTTTGTATTGGGGGATTCTTCCTGCACCCCCATATTTTCTTCATGGGCTCATAATCTTACCAAAATGACTTAATTGTCCCTTATTAAAAATTTTGGGTCTCATGTTGTCTTCTAAATTTGCATTACGGCAATTGAAATATAAATTTATATTATGAATTTTAAAATTTAAAATGCATTTTAATTATATTGTAAATTTATATTACAAATTATACAATTTAAAATATAAAATTGTATTATAAATTATACAATTCAAAATTTAATTCATATTTTTATTCTTTTTTAAATTTGTATTATTAATTGTACAATTTAAAATATAAATTTGTCTTACAGAGTATCTACAAATTATACAATTCAAAAATATAGTTAAAACACACAATATACACTGTCCTTTTCTATTAATTTTAACAAGGGGTATAGTTGAAATTTAGAAAGTATGGAGTGCAACAAGAAAACATGGGAATGCGGAAAGAAATTGACTTTGAATTGTTGTGTCTCATTTTAAAGTCCAACAGATTTTTTTTATGTAAAACATAATAACATTAGAAAAATATAAAAAAAAAACTATTCAAAAAATAATATGATAAACTGATAATGATAATAATAATAATATAATAAAAGTGTAAAATATTATTTATAGCCTAATATATTACATGTTTTTCATATTATTTTACTTACTCATAGATATTTTAATATGTTTTTAATACGAAATAAACATTTACAATGAGTTTATGAAATTCTCATTAATAAACTTTTAATATATTTTACTTTTTATTTAAAAAAATCAACTATTTATAAAACATTTAAGTCGGTTGTTATATTTAGATCGATATTTTTTTTCTCAATCAATCTCCCACATCTTTTTTATTCAATAAAATAAACATCTATAAAGAGTATCACTTAAGCTAAAAATCAGAGTAGGTGAGTTACAGTGACAACCAACAAAATCAATATCAGGGGATGACTAAGATTAAGCTCCTAAGAAACAATAAGTAAAGACAAAATAAGAAATCAAATATAATTTTGTCGGACAATAGCCTGAAACTGTAATTTCTTACGTTAATTTCTGTCCCTACGGAACAAATTTTCACTATTTATAATTATTTTTGTCATGATATTGATTACCTTCTATAATTACCTTTACTTTTTCTTTTCTTTTCTTTTCCCTGTCTTCATCGTATTCTATTTTCTATGGAGAAAAATCTAACTTTATCGCCATCACATGTGAGCATTTCTAAATAAGAGACGTGTTGTAGTAAAACTTTGCGACAATACTGCAACCAACAAAGATAAGCAGGTTTGCTCTACTTTTGATAAGTGAGACAGAAAATGACTACAACCAACAACCTATTTTAT